TTGATCCCGTCAGACTGAGCAGTAATGATGTTTGTACCCGTCACCCACACGGTACAATCAGCCTATGGGTGTCTGTGACACAGAATCAGGGCCGCTTCCAGTCTGATTGACAGGTGCGCAGCAACTGATGCTTAGTCAATTCGCCATATGAAATGTCGTCGCTTCAAATTTGAACTTACAGCTTAAAGATATTAAAAAATGAATTGACTGTGTCGGCGGTTGCTGTGGTATCGAATGTGACTGTCGTGTGTGAGTCAGGCATTGCAGCGTGCCCTGTGAGCCCGCCGCGGCGTCGGCGAACAATGGGGCCGGGTCGTCTTCTTCACTTGACACCCGCCGCTGAGTGATGGCCGCCGCCGCGACGGGCTGGTGTGGGGTGAGTGTGCCGGCCAGCCAGTCCTGCTCTGGCTGGCCGGCCGTGCGGTCCATATATACAGTCTACACGTGGTTGTTCCCGCTTTACTTTCTACAAGCTATTTCGGCCTTACACCAGAGTGAAGACGTCATGACGACGACAGCTTCCACGTCAGAGACGGTGCTGACGTCAGTGACAGGGCCGGTGATGTCAGTCACCTGGCCGGCAGCAGCGGCGGCTGCCAGTCACCTCAGCAGTAGCGGCGCCCCCAGCCAGTCGCCTGGCCGTCAGCGGCCGGCGGCCCCAGTCGTTTTGCCGCCATTACCCTTCGACGTCCGTCTAATCCCCGAGTATGACGGCAGCACCGACGTCGTGGAGTGGTTTGGCCGGACGGAGATGCTGTGTCGGCTGCGTGGTGTGCCGGTGGAGTCAGTGCTGCCGCTGCGGCTCTCGGGCGGTGCGTTCGCTGTTTGGTCACAGCTGCCCGCCCACAGCCAGTCCTCGCTGGTGGCCGTCCGCGGCGCACTGTATGCAGCCTTCGCCCTTGACCAGCACGCAGCGTACGAAGCCTTCTCAGCACGGCGGCTGAGGCCGGGGGAGTCAGCTGACGTGTTTCTGGCCGACCTGCGGCGGTTGGCGGCCCTGTTCGGCGGACTGCCAGAGCGCGCGCTGACCTGCGCGTTCGTCGCGGGGCTGCCGGACGACGTCCGCCAGACCATTCGCGCCGGCTCCAAGGCTGAGGGACTGGACCTGACTACCATCGTGGTTCGCGCTCGAGCCATTCTCAGCAGTGAGCGAGTCTCAGCGGCGGCAGTGCAGCAACGGGCCGTGGCACCGTCCCCCGACCAGCGTCCTGCCTCGCCGCGTAGTCGGCCTCGGCGCCCTCCGCGCCGCATGCGCTGCTGGGCTTGCGGGGAGCTCGGTCACATCGCGGCGAGGTGCCAGCAGCGATCGGGAAACGGAACCGGGGAGGACGGGTCAGCACCGCCGTCCTCTCCTGCGCAGCACTGAGCGGTGCGCTGCCCATCACGCGGCTGAGGGTGGAAGGCCGCGAGTGCAGCGTCCTGATTGACACCGGCAGCACAGAGAACATCATTTACGCTCCCCTCTGTACGCAGTGGAGACCGCGGCAGGTGCGCGTGACCACCATCAGTGGGGGTCAGCTGGAGTGCTGCGGTGTTGGCGCCGTGGTCGTGGAGGCGCCGACGGGCCACCGCGGCACACTCGAGACGGTGGTGGTGGAGAAGCGGCCTCTGGGAGTGGATATGGTCCTCGGGATCGCAGGCGTCTCTGCACTGGGTGGCGTGACCGTGCTCTCCCCATCTGAGGTCCGCTTTTGTGGAGCGGTGTGCAGTGAGCCACTGGGCGTGGATGCGCCGGACTTCCGTGTGTGCTTTGACTCGGCGGAGCGGAGATGGACCGTGGCCTGGAAATGGCGTGACGGCGAAGGTCCCGAGTGCCTGACGAACACTGTCGCCCAGTATACAGTGCCGTCAGCCGCACGCCGTGAATATGACGCGGAATTGGACGCATGGATCGCACAGGGCTGGCTAGTGCCGTACGATGAGGACCGCCATGGGGCGGCGAAGGGGCTGGTGCCGCTGATGGCTGTGCAGCAGAGCAACAAGGCCAAAGTGCGCCCGGTAATGGATTACCGCGAGCTGAACGGTTTTGTATCGGCTCACACAGCCGATGCTGATGTGTGTGCGGATCAGCTCCGGAAGTGGCGCCGTCATGGCGCAAACGTGGCGGTGATAGACCTAAAGCGCGCCTACCTGCAAGTGCATGTAGAGGAGCGGCTCTGGCCGTACCAGACTGTGATGGTTCGAGGCCAGAGGTTTTGCCTGACACGCTTAGGTTTTGGCCTTAATACAGCCCCTCAGATAATGAAGGCCGTTGTGAGGTCCGTGCTGGAGCAGGACCCGGACGTACAGCGTGCCGTCCTTCCGTATGTGGACGATCTTCTGGTAAACGAAGACGTGCTGAGCGCAGACAGTGTGGTGGCGCACTTCGAGAAGTTCGGGCTGAACTGCAAGCCCCCAGAGCGGGCAGCCAGCGGAGCTCGGCTGCTGGGCCTGCGCGTCCAGGCAGAGGGCGGCAAACTGCAGTGGACTCGGGACAACGCGGTGGGAGCGCCGCCGGCACCTGTCACGCGCCGTGCCGTGTTCTCGTGGTGTGGGCGGCTGGTGGCACACCTGCCCGTGTGTGGATGGCTCAGGCCTGCGGTGGCCTGGCTCAAACGGCGTGTGAACCAGATGACTAGGGCGTGGGATGACGTCACCGATGACGCAGCGCTGCGTGCTCAGCTGGACTATGTTGCAGGCCGCTTGAATGGTGACGACCCAGCCCGCGGCACGTGGTGCGTTGAGGGTGACGCCATGGCTGTTTGGACCGACGCCAGCTCCCTGGCCACCGGAGTCGTGCTGGAGTCAGCGGACGGTGACGTCATCGAGGACGCGTGCTGGCTAAGACATAATGAGGCCACGCACATCAACATGGCCGAGCTGGACGCCGCCATCCGAGGCGTCAACCTGGCTGTCGCCTGGGGAGCGCGGACAATCGATCTCCGCACCGACTCGGCCACTGTTCATCGCTGGCTTGATGACGCCATCAGCGGCCGCGCGCGCCTCAGAACAAAGGCGCACGGTGAGCTGTTGATTCGGCGACGTGTGGGGATCATCTGTCAGCTGGTCGGTGAGCTGCGGCTACGACTGTCGGTGACGCTCGTGCGGTCGGCTGAGAACCGAGCTGACGCACTGACGCGAGTCCCCAAAGACTGGCTTCGTAACGTGAGTGTGACTCGAGAGTGCGAGTCTCCATCGCCCGGAGTCAGTGCGGCGGTCGTCTCCGAGCCGCCGCCTCTGGCCGGTGCCGCCGCTGGGCGTGCCGACGGCGGTACGGCGGACGAGCTCCGTGCAGCCGTGTGCCAGTCACACGATCGGGCCGGCCACCCCGGTGTCCGTCGGACATTGTACTTTGCCCGCCGTGATGTGTCGCGTGACGTCACCCGGGCTATGGCTCGTGCGGTGGTGGAGAACTGTGACGCGTGCCGCTCGATTGACCCGGCCCCGGTGCGGTGGAGACATGGCTCGCTCGGCATGTCTGTCCCGTGGCAGCGCATATCCATCGACGTCACCCATCACCGCGGACAGAACTACCTCACCGTCATTGACTGTGGGCCATCGCGCTTCTGCGTATGGCGCTCGCTGCGTCGCGCCAACGCCATCGAGATTGTTGGCCACCTAGAGCAGCTATTTCTCGAGCGCGGAGCCCCTGAGGAGATCCTGACAGACAATGACACGGTGTTCCGAGGCCGTCATATGGCTGTGCTCGCGGCGCGGTGGAGAGTGGCTCTCAGATTCCGAGCTGTCCACGAGCCAGGCGGGAATGGTGTGGTGGAGCGGTGCCATCGGACAATCAAAGTCATCGCCGCGAGGCGCCAGTGTACCGTGGCCGAAGCGGTTCACATTTACAACGTGACCCCGCGCGATGGAGTGACGGCAGAGTCCGCCCCGGCATCCGGGGTGTATCAGTACACCGTGCGGGATTGTATTCGGTCCGCGCCGTCTGACACCGCTGAAGCTAGCGAGCGGCACTCACTCGTGTCTGACGACCGGTGTCGTGTTAGGCCGCCGCTATCTGACGCCACGGAGGCTGTGGGGTCACCCCCACTTGTATCTGACGGGGCGCGTCTCAGAGTGGGGGACAGGGTGTGGGTGCGCCGACGTGGGACACGCTGCACAGATATGTCACGGCGCGGGACGGTGACGGGCTTGGTGTCGCGACAGGTAGTCGAGGTCGATGGGGTCCCATGGCACGTCAGAAACGTTCGTCACCGATGTGACCAGCAGGACAGCGACGGGGACAGTGACAGTGTCGATGACGGCGACGGGGACAGTGACAGTGTCGATGACGGGCCGCCATTGTACGTGGACTGTCACTGGGAGGCAACCGAGGACGGCGCTGACGCGGTTGTAGACAATGGAACGACCGTGCGTGCTGTGCCTGAGACACTGCAGCACGCCACAGAGCAGACGGGGACTGAGCCCCCTGCAGCCGAGCCGGCTGTGGCTGAGCCTCCTGCAGCCGAGCCGGCTCAGGTCGAGCCGGTGCTGCTGCGGCGGAGCGCCCGCCTGCAGAGTCGGATGATCCGTTAGTGGTGCGTACTGCAGTGTGGTCCACTGAAAATGTACTAGTATGATTCTTGAGTATCAGGTGGGAGTGTGTCGGCGGTTGCTGTGGTATCGAATGTGACTGTCGTGTGTGAGTCAGGCATTGCAGCGTGCCCTGTGAGCCCGCCGCGGCGTCGGCGAACAATGGGGCCGGGTCGTCTTCTTCACTTGACACCCGCCGCTGAGTGATGGCCGCCGCCGCGACGGGCTGGTGTGGGGTGAGTGTGCCGGCCAGCCAGTCCTGCTCTGGCTGGCCGGCCGTGCGGTCCATATATACAGTCTACACGTGGTTGTTCCCGCTTTACTTTCTACATTGACTTAGCCAAGAAGCTTCATACCATTCTCTGCACAATACATGCAAGCAACGTGGCAACTATTCAATCCACTTCCCTAAAGCCGTCCCCGGTGCGGAACTGGCACTACCCGTCAGTCGTGGACCGGAGTGGGCGGGCGGAGAGGCACTCGCCACTCACCATGACCAGATTTCCCGATGTCTTGTAGGACACCTTGGGCAGTGACGATGCTGGCGGCTGGTTCTCCTGGTCGGCGGCCGAGCGGGACACCTGAAATGAACGACAAGGGACGGTCACTGGTCAGTGGTGGGCTGCAGACAGGTTTAGCAGAGCTGCAGATACCAACAACGGGGGACGGTCAATGTTGGGGTGGGGACGGGTTTACCAGAGCTGCAGACACCTGTGACAGACAACAGCGGGGGACGGTCGGTGGTGGGTTGCGAACCGGTTAGAAACGAAGCTGCGGGCGGGTCAGCAGGGGGCAAAGAGCGCTGTCAAAAGTCAGTGAGTGGGGAGAGCTGTGGACGAGTCAGAGACAGAGCTGCTGACTGGTTGAGGACGGAGCTGCCGACCGGTCAGAACTCAGAAGGAGACTGGAGAGGCTCAGGCTGGTGAAAGGTCAGTATCGAGGAGGGGGGGGGGCACGGACGGGTGACAGACGGAGCTATTAACGGATTACAGAGGAGCTGCAGGCCACGAAGTCACCGTTTCAATGGACGAATCTTCTGTTTCTGGTGCATTAGATAGATAACGGTCCGGTCTGGCCAGTTGCAGATAGTTTAAAAGTTCGCAATGCTTTCAGCTGATAGCAGAACTCAGCGAGACGGCAGGAATGACGTCATCAGTCGATCGTCCACCTATCATGGTCGTCTGAGGGTCAAAAACCCCAGTTGTGTATGAAACACCAATGGTTCAGCCATAGTCAGCTTGGGATAACGGGCTTCACAAGTGATCCTACGATAGTGCCTCAATCCTCCAAGTAACGTAGGGCAAGAACGTAGGAAACTCCAAGTAACGTAAAGAACTCCAAGTAACGTAGGAAAAGCAAAATATAATACGCACATATTTTCGTAACTCAGTAGCATGCACGCCTTGGCTCTATTTGAAACTCCGCTAACCATTGACACCCACATTCTCCCAAGCATGTCCTCAGTGCCCTCGGCGTCACCAACCGACTTTGACACAACCCGTGAAGACTGCCCGTGACGGGACACGGTTACAGCGCCTCAGATCACGCCGACAGCCGAGCAGTGCCCGTGCTGCTCTCTTCACGGCCGGCTGGTTCGTCAGAGAAGCTGTCCGGCTCAGGGACGGGATTCGGTCGTCACCCGGAGTCGGCGACAGGTCATCCGGAGGTCACGGGGGGCGACTGGCGACAGCCGGTGACCGCAGATGTGCTGAACGGTGGACGGAGGAGAGGAGAGGAGAGGAGAGGGGAGAAAAGGAGAGGAGAGGAGATAAGAGAGAGAGAGAGAGAGAGAGAGAGAGAGAGAGAGAGAGAGGGAGGGAGGGAGGGAGAGAGGGAGAGAGAGAGAGAGAGAGAGAGAGAGAGAGAGAGAGAGAGAGAGAGAGAGAGAGAGAGAGAGAGAGAGAGAGAGAGAGAGAGGAGAAAAGTAGGCGGCGGGGTTATCGACGGATAGTGGACAGCGAGGGAAGAGCGAACGGTAGGAAAGAACACGGGAGTGAGAACAGAGAGAAGATGGTAGTGTGGGCGCTGACGGTGGTCACCAGTGGCCGACATGAACTAGACAGACGGCGAACGGTGGCCAGTGAGCCGAGGTCGTGGGCTGAGAGCCGACTACGTGGCGGTGGAGAATAATCGACTACGGACTAACCGACCCCTGAAACCATGTTCCACACAGGCGGACCCTGCTCTGGCAGCCACGACTCCTCCCTCTCCCGTCTCTCCCTCCCCCGATGTGCGTAACACCCGGCGACGGCGCGACTGTCGCGGTCTCCGCCGACGAACCAGACCCGCCCGAGGCCGTGACAGTGTGTGATCACACGACCCGGTCCCCGGGGCGGGCCGGCAGGTCGTAACGACACGGCGCGCGGCTGACACGCCGGCCGAGGCACACACGCACAGACACCGGTCGCAACTGTAAACAACCCGCAGCAGGGACCGGGCGCAGGTGGACGTGGGTTCCGTGAACGATCGAACACAGGATAGACGGCGGTCGGCGGGCGACCTAAACAAAAGAAATGACACCAATGATTAGGCACACCTTACTTGTCCTGGAAGTCTGGACAGTGAGCATAGTATGCTGAGGGCAGGAGAAACGATTGCCGAAAGTATTATAACCCTTGTAGTGACAAGCTCCCAGATACTATGTAGACCAAGCTTCAAGCATTTTCCAGTGATAGAGAAGCGTCTATTGATAACCATCATTCGATCCATCTCGGGCTATCTTTTACAGCTGACAGTCCAAATAAAAACTCGGCAACTGCAATGACCGCCAACTACACCATTCTTCGACCTATCAACGCCAATGAAATGTTCCGTCAGGCCCACTCCGAAAACCAGGCAAGCATATCATCTCGACTAATGAAGCGAATTGTAACAGACATAGCTTGAAGGTGTTGCTATGTCGAGACCGGTCAAGTGAACCGCGGACCTGTCCAACGAAATAATCGATACCACCAAGTAGTTTTGGTCGACGGCCAGAGCAGCATTGGAGCGCTGAATAGAGGCAGAGTTTTTTTCTTGATCTAGGTCGGCGGGACACAATGGCAAACGGGGTGCATGGAAGGGTAGGCGATTGAAGACCTTAGTCTCGATCGATAGCATGGGACGTTTTTAATGAAAATGGCAGGACAAGTAGTTTGGTAGGAGCCTGAAGCCTGGCCAATTCAGCCATCGAGCGTCGGGATGGAGGCTATGAAAGCACGCTAAATTGCTTAACATTACATTTCACGAGGATTAATTGAAGCCCCTTAAATATTTGAAAGGTTCTCCGACAAATTGGCCACTGACATGCCTCATCGTCCATGCCCTAGAGCTCATCGAACCATCATTACATTCAATGTGGGTCTTCATCACTGACCACTAAATTTCACCCGTGCTGGCCTGACCCATCCAGGCACAGAACACTGAATCACCGGACCGATCCAGGCCACAAAACACTGAGGAATGACGACTGGCCCAGAATACGCCACTACACAGACAGTCTGAGCGGACGAGAGCGCACAGTGATGCAAATGGGGTTCACGAGTGGCCATAAATACGAAAAAGGCCCAAAATTCAAGTTCACTTAATCGAATGAATCGTAATATGGTCAGTCAGGCAAATGTTTGGGGTGTCTGAAAAAGTATGATTTTAATGTTTTTGTCAAAACCGGCCTCGTGTATGGATTGTCAGAAGTCGAGACATTTTCGATGTCGTAAAATGACTGTCAGGTACTTGAAATTCAAGTGCCGCTAGCGTGCGTTCATGTCATACAAACTGCAAAAATCATACATGAAAATGATTCCCGAAACCTGCTGCTTCTAATGCCACGTCATAAAAAGCCGTATCTATTTTGGTTTGGCGGTGAGCTAACTATTTGTAATCATGTTGCAACCGCAGTTTTTTACCAAAAATATTTGCTTTCAATTCACCTACAGCACTTCACACAGTGTGTGCCCGTTAGTGCACCATATCATAGCATTCCCTAATCATTTCTGAGTCGCATCGTGAAAGAATTAGGGCGCTAGCACAGGGCTGACCGCCGCTACAGAAGTTTTCGTCCGGCACGGTCGGGTGCCGCGGCGCAGCGGGCGGCCCGGGCGGCCGCGCCGCCGCGCCGCCGCGCCGCCCGGACGCCGCGCGACGGCACCCACCCGCCCACCGCGCGCCCACTGCGGCACCCGACCGCCCGGACAAAAACCTCTGTAGCGCCGGTCAGCCCTGTGCTAGCGCCTTAATTCTTTCACGATGCGACTCAGAAATGATTAGGGAAGGCTATGGTATGGTTGACTAATGGGCACACACTGTGTTAAGTGCTGTAGGTGAAACGAAAGCATTTTTTTCTTAGTAAAAAACTTCGATTGCAACATGATGATAAATAGTCAGATTACCGCCAAAGCGAATGAGATACGGCTTTTTGTAACCCAGCATTAGAAGCAGAAGGCTTTGGGGATCATTCCCATGCATAATTTTTTCAATTTGTACGAAATGAATGCAAACCAGCGGCGTTTGAACTTGCGAGCGTCTGACCGTCATTTTACGACCTAGAAAATGTCACGACTTCTGACGATTATACACGAGACCGGTTTTGACAAAAACATGAAAAACATGTGATTTCAGATGCCCCAAGCATTTGTCTACTCGGCCATATCGCAATTAACTCGATTTGGTAAACTTGACTTTTGGGTATTTATGGCCACTCGTGAACCCCATTTGCATCACTGTGGAGCGGCAGCGCGTCACCCAGCTATGCTCGGTGTCATCTTCCTGCCGCGATACCGATACGATCACCCCCCCCCCCCTCCAACACACACACAGAGACCGCGGCGCCTCAGATTCCGCCCCGTCCCCAGTCGGTCGACCCCACCGGGTGGGGCAGACGGCCGGTGTCCAGTGTCCACAGATCGTCTGGCGGCTCGTGTCACGGTTTGGGCGGCGTCCCGGCTGGCCAAAGGTCAGGGGTCAGGCCGCGCGGTGCCGGCCGCCGTAGCCACCCATCAGCGGGGTCCCGGAACGGCCGCTCATGGGGGCCGACCCCACCACACGGCCCGCGGCACCGGCTGACAGACGGTCTGATTTGGACGACCCACGCTCACAGAAATGCATTTGCATGGGGTGTGGACTCATGTGAGTGCGCTGTATCATGGTTGACGGTTGTAGTCGGGTTACACGAGCGATTGGTGCATGTCTGGAAAGTGGAACTGGAGGACAAACTGATGTCGCTTGGTCAAACCAGACTTTACCGGTGTCAGCTCCCCAATCCAAAAGCGATATAAAACAAAAATCAATTAAAGGACACGCTTAAAACCAGGATACAGCGCCACAGGCAGCTGTTTGCGGCTACGAAACTTCACGTTGTTCCAGGCACGTGCTGCCGCCTCGGCTTTGTACCGTCGTTCCGCATCCGGGCTTTGTAACATAGAGCGCAGTTCAAGTTCGGGCCTCCTTTGACCTGTCAGAGTGCATCGTGGGCCTTTGTCCGGCTAACAGCTCCGAACTATACCGTACGACGGACATAGCGATCGTGGTGAGCGGTAGCATAGCATACAACAGCAGCTGGCAGCAGAGGAAAGTAACGACAGTCGACAACGCCAGACAACGCCAGAGGCGAGCGAGTAAACGGAGCTACCATCGCCCGACAACGGCAGAAGCGAGCGAGTAGCGGCAGTCGACAACGCCAGACAACTTCAGAGGCCAGCGGGTAACGCCAGACGACAATGTCAGGGACAAGTAACCGCTTAACTACAATAAAAAACTCGCCAACGGCTTAGTGAAAAACCGCGTTATAACAGCGAGCGACCTCAGTTTGCGTAAGAGACGAACAACTGTGGCGAACATCACGTCAAAAATCCAGCACGAGTCGTCATCATCGGGCGTGGCTGTCGTACGGGACGAGGCTGCGGGATGACGGACACGTCGCCCGGCGCTGGACGTCCCTAGGGGCTCATTACGAGCCGCTAATCCAGGGAGGCTGAAGTGGCCAGCGGCGACCGGACAGCGACCACACAGAGCGAGGCGGCGCGGACGTGACGAGGGAGAGGAAGAGGGAGGGAGGGAGAGAGAGAGAGAGGGAGAGAGAGAGGGAGAGAGAAAAAGAGAAACGGACATAGGCGGCACATGACGAAGCAGAGGAGGGAGATAGAGATGTCCAGGGGGAGAGCGAGAGAGAGCGAGAGAGAGAGCGAGAGAGAGAGCGAGAGAGAGAGAGAGAGAGAGAGAGAGAGAGAAACACACAGAGAGAGAGAGAGAGAGAGAGAGAGAGAGAGAGAGAGAGAGGAGAGAGAGGAGAGAGAGAGAGAGAGAGAGAGAGGGAGAGAAAGAGAGAGAGAGAGAGAGAGAGAGAGAGAGAGAGAGGAGAGAGAGAGAGAGAGAGAGAGAGAGAGAGAGAGAGAGAGAGAGAGAGAGAGAGAGAGAGAGAGAGAGAGAGAGAGAGAGAAACACAGACAGAGACGCAGATATATAGGGAGATAGATACAGACAGTCAGCGAGACACAGGGCCGAGCTACACGCGAGTCCGGCGTATCGACCCCGCAGCGACCGCCGACAGCGCCGTAAAATGGCTGTCTCTCACAAGGACATGTTGGTAAATGCACCAACTGATGCAATTACGCGACCACCGCGAGATTGCCTCAGAAGCGAGGCGAGGAGATGGGTCTGCCGCCAGATCCAGACGATAAGAAACAAGGTCATATTTTCCACATGCATGCACATAACTTGAGAGAAAAGGTGGAAAAGTGAATTATTCTTTTTTGCTGTCTATCCAAGTTTTCAACACCTATAAGCAAAACACTGAGTTCATGGCTAACTGACGATTCGTTTGTATAGGTCAGGATATCCACAGAACCACCAAGCTAGACAATAGTAAGACAGGACAGCCGCAACACAGTTCCGGCCATCTCTCCACTCGAAATGAACGAAGAAGCGAAGCGATTCAGGAGACCGGCCTCGAAGTCACTCTCAACGTCACCGTCAGTCACTCGAAAACCGTCATTCTCAAAGAACACAGCCGTCAGCCGGCCGGGTGACGTCAGTTCGATCCGGACCAGACCGGACCGGCTGGCGCCAGCCGGGGCTCACAGAGAGGATCCAGGGATGAACCGAGCACGTCACAGCCGTCGACGGCCGCCCGGCGCGCGCCATTACCCGCTGCCCGTGCCGCGCCGCTCCGCCGCCGCCCACGTCCATATTTATGGCGGCCATTGGAGTCCCTCCACCCGTGAAACGCGCTAATGTTTGTGAAAATGAGCCGGCGCCGCCTCCTAGCTTCAGTGGGAATCGTTTGAATCCGACATTTCCCACCCACGACTGATCCTCGCCCCACCTGCCGGTCGGGACAGCGGTACGGCATTCCTGACAGGTCAGCGGTGTTGGAGTAATCTGTAACCGCGTCAGACAACCGACAACGTCTGGAACCGCCTGTCGACTGATTGGCATATCCGGCGGACGGCGAGTGAGGAAAGGTACGACCGGTGAGCGAGGAACGCTTTAATTTCTGGTGAGCGAGTAACAAGTTGATCGAGGCACAAGATGATCTGTGAGCGAGTAACAATGCGCCCGATTAGTAACTGAGGCTAGTAAGGTTAGTAAACAAAAAGTAAGGATAGTTAACAATATGAATGGTGAACGAAGGACAGAGTAGCTGGTATCGCGGTACAAAATGACCGACGATCAGCGAGCACGTGATGATTGGAGTTTGTCGGCGCTACAACCACGAGGGGAGGGACAGCGGGCGAAGGTTTCCTCGAACGCGGGCCGTGACCCCAGCTCCGATCCGTTAGTTGTACGGCACAATCCGAGCGGAAAGTCGGCGTCGCCGAGCCGACCGGAAGTGACGTCGAAACGTCGTTGGAAAAAGGCTGAGCTTCTTCGTCCAAGCTGGACACAATGCAGAGTTCAAAGGTTGTGAGCATAAGACATTTGAACTAGAATCTATTTTTAGGACAGGACGTGTCTCAATGAGGCAAATCTTGACATTAAGGACCCTTATATATGTAAAGTCGGAATATGACAGATGCGTTATTGAAAATATCATCAGGACGACTATAATTGAAAATTATGCCGTGGCTGGTGGCACGACTGTAAAGGAAAACAACATAACACACATGCATTTCACAATCACCGCATTGTACGTTGATTGACTGGTAAGCATTTATCACATTCACGAACAGCAATTTACTCAGAACGAAAGCATCCTCTGAACGAGTCCCAAAACAGACATTCCCCTCAGCCCGACCATCTCTAGTGAGAGATGATCTCCATTCGCTCACCTTGACAGGTATCCTGCTGCCTCCTGCCGCCGAGGAGCCCGCCGAAGCCGTGGACGCGTTCGAGGTGATTGAGGTGTTCAGATCGCGCAGTACATTGTCCTCATCCTGTGACGGCGCGGCGGACGCCTCCTCCGCCAGCGGTGCCAGCTTCTGCGGTGTGGGCCGCGCCCGGGGCACCACGCTGTTGAGCATGCGGTTCTTGGGACGCAGGTTCTGCACCAGTGTGGGCTCGGGTCCGTCGTGGATATAGCGAGCCACCGGGCTGACGATGTCCTGTGGGAAAGACAGAGGAGCCGTCATTACTCCGAAAGGGAGGGAGCTGCTATGGATAAAATTTAATGTATGTAACAATAATTATGAAAAGCTGTTAATCAGCGACAGTTCATAGAATAATTCCGGAAAATGAGCAAGATTGGGGTAGCCCCTGGATTGCCGTGCAACAGCCGGTTTTAGTCAGCGCCGCAGCGCCCTCGCTCACCTTCAGGTTAGGTTTAGTTCTCGGTGTCGTCGGCTGTGACGCTACCGTCGCCGTCCTGGCCACCGGTGTCGGCGTCCTCAGGCGGCTGGCCTTAGCGGCAGAACGGGCCGGGGACGGCGTCACCTTGGCTCGCGGTGTGGTCAGCCGGCCCGGGGACGGTGCCCCCATTTGCTGACGCGGAGTGACCGCGGCAGGCCGGCCCCGGCCGCGGGGGGTGACGGTAGCGGGGGTCGCCTTCTTGACCTCAGCCGGCTCCGGACGGCTTGGGGTAACCCTACTTGCCGTCGCCGCTGATCGTGGCTTGCTCTGAGGTGTGTCCGCAGTTGGGGCACTCGCAGCGTCACCCGCCTCCGTCGCAGACTTGTTGGAGTGGAGGAGAGTCTCTCCCGCGGCCGTCCGGTTCTGCAGGAGCGTCTCCAGGCGCCGCTCCTCCGCCTCCATAGCCAGCAATTTCTCCATCATCTCCAGCGTGTCGTTCATGTCAGATCCTGTGGAGGTACCGCTCATGAACGAGCCGGCCAGACTGCTCTCCGACGCCAGACTGGTGACCCGGTCCCGGCCGGCCAGCGACGGCGAGCGGCTGTAATCGTCACTGGTCGCGTCATCCGACACCGCCGTCCGTTCCACCCCTCCTGACGGCTCACGAGAGGCCTCAGCCGCCGCCTCCGGCTCCGGAAGATCCTCCACACTCGACTCGTACAGCCGCGAGTCATCCTCACTGTCGGACTCCTGCGCTGCCTCAGCTCCCAGTGTGCTGTTGGGCGGTGCGGCGGGCGTGATCGAGATATCTGAGAGGGTAGACGCAGACGTCAGTCTCCGGCTGTCGTCCGCCGCCCTTCCGCCATAGCAGGTGTGGTAAGAGTCTACGGAGGTGGCCACTGAGACGGCGCTCGGTGAGGAGAGTTGGCGGTGCATCGCCTGCAGCAGGCCGCCGCCGGGGGACGAGTAGCTCTCTGGCGGCGAGCGGGTAGCGCGCGGCGTGGCGCCCGTGACGGTCACACGCGGGGAGCGGGCCGCAGCGGCCGGCTCGGCCAGTTCATCACAGAGCGCTCCGAGCAGCGCACCACTGGCCGTCTCGCGGCGCTTGGCCCCGCCACCAGGCGCGTCCTGTGCTCCGTCCTCCGAGGCCAGCGTGACCCACAGGCTTCCGTTCACGGCAGGCTCCCGCTCCTCGGATAAATCCTCGCAGACACTCTCCTGGGCAGCGTCCGGCGGAGACACGGGACACTCTGAGGGCATCTCCTCCCAGTGCTGGCTCTTCTCCGCCCCAGGCGAGGAGGGAGCGGGGCACTCAGAGGGCATTTCCTCCCATTGCTGGCTCTCTTCTCCGTTCCGTGGCGAGGGGGCCGGACATTCTGACGGCATCTCTTCCCATTGCTGGCTCTCTTCCGCGTTGCGTGGGGAAGGAGCCGGACACTCCGTCGGCATCTCCTCCCACTGCTGACTCTCCTCTCCACGTGCCGGCGCTGGCAGAGGGTTCTCCGAGGGGAGTTCCTCCCAGACCCTGCTCTCACCAGCCGGCTCCGGCAGCGGCAGCGGGTTCTCCGAGGGCATCTCTTCCCACTGCTGACTCAGCTCGGCCCCCGTCAGCCGGGTGGAGGAGGGTGGATGCTCGGAGGGCAGCTCCTCCCAGTGGCGAGACTCGCCCGTGTTCTCGGCAGAGGCCAGCGGCGCGACCGACTCCTCCAGGCGACTGCTGGTCACCGGGTAGCTGGGGACAGAATATGGCAAGGTTAGCGTCACAGGCAGCCAAATACACCCATGAGTCTCCTAACAGCACACCCAGTCTGAACAGCAGAAATGACCATTAAGCTGAGCTGATATCATGCTTGCCTTTCAAGATAAGAAACTGTTCAATAAGCAAAAACAACAAATCTATGAATGATGAATCTATCAGCCTATTTACAAAATCTATCTACTTAATGTATTTATCTTTATAAACTATTTAATCTATGAATCTTGTTCGAAGAATGTGACATCGATACAGCAACTAGATCAATCACCTAGATTGCAAATACAATACATCCAGCGCGCAAGCCCCCTCGTTCCCCTCCCCTCCAACGGACGTCACTCACCGATTGGCACCGGCTGTGGAAGTCGGCAGCTCCAGCTCGCCCATGGTGAACGACTCGCGGGCTCCCTCCAGGGTGACGGCCCGCATACCGCCCTCCAGGCCGGCCATCGTGTTGTTGGCGCTGTCACTGCGCAGATAATACACAAGAGATGAGTGGTGGGGAGGAGAAAGACACGCGGAGTAGGCATCCCATATCCGTGTGCTAACCAATAAAACATTGAGATTGTGGATATGGTGTGATCGAACTTGCGTCCGCTTATTGCAACTTCCTGAAAACGTACTCTGGCCCTTATTTGTTGGGCAAGAGGGCTGGTGCCTAGTAGTAGTCTATCCACATCAATACCAATGCCATCACACACATATACATATAATGATCAATGATCTCGCAGAAGATGCATGGAAGAACTAAGCACGATTACGTTAAGCCGAGCAACACTTAAAAAGAAAACGTTTTCCATCAAATTACCATAGATCATTTGTTACACGCACGCCAGAATGTCCAGATCCGATCTAATCTAGCTATTGGCCACCTCGGATAGACTGTCAGCGCACCTGGCGTCGCCGTCGGCCAGACAGATGGTTTCGTTGAGCAGCCGGCTGATCTCCAGTTCCCGATCGGTCACGGGGCCCATGAACACCACGTCGTCTTCACTGTCACTGGCCTCGCCAGCTGCCTGCCGCCACGCTGTCGCCATGGGATGGCCTGTGAATGGTGCTGAAAAAAAATGACAGAATATTCAAATTTACATGAACTTACTCAGTTGTGAATATTCACTGTGAGGTGTGACCATAACTTATTCTTTTGTCTTTTTGTCTTTTGATATTTTGAGCGATGAATACATTTATTGGAAAACAATGCTTTACTATAAGAGACCAAGATAAACTAGCCAAGGGCCTAGCTTTTCAATTTGAAAAAAGCATCAACATAATAAATGCAACATACTGATGGCTGATGCTTACCAGTAGAGCAAGCACCGTGATTAATGTAAAATTTGCAAACCAGATACCAAACCAGAAGCAGACCGTGACAAACTATGAAACCAGAAGTCATGTGACAAACTATGTGGAAGACACACAATTCCAGCCTTAACTACTCGGACTGCTGCAAGATGGACTGAGATAAGGGGCTGGCGCGTCTAAAGTTCAGGGTTCCTTCATTCTCCTTGCCATCCTTTCCTGCCTGTCTGTTTCCGGCACTAGGAACCCAACCAGGTGAGTGAACCAGGTGAGACCGGTCACGGTGGTTCTATGTGAAAGACACGCACATCACCAAAGTGACTTTGGACAGGGTACCGAGGGCGTGGCCGTGGGCATACACCATGCATGTTGTTCTATGAAAGTGAAGGGGTTTGTAAGATGGGCAAGATAACTGTGGTTTGTCTGCTTTGTCTTGGTATGAGTGTATGAAAAAGGTCTGCCGAGTCAGAGTTAGAGCTGTGGCTGGTTAGGGTTGACACTTGACACTTCTCAGTTCTGCCCAGCAGCCCAGTGTCTCAGTCTGAGTCTCAGTTGGTTTGTGAGAGCATGTGAGACGCCTGCTATAAGAATGCCGTTGGTTTTTCATTTCAATTTTGGAAGCCAGAGTAAGTCGCCTAAAATCCGTCAACTCTGCAGTCCCAGTAATTCATCTGCATCGGCTGCATGTGCAAATGCAATAAAAATTTTGATTAAATTGAGTTGCATGAGGGAGCATGATGCTTACAATCGTTAGCTTGGGACATTGACATTGACATGACATAGCTAGCAGGATTACCTATTCAGAGAGGAAGAGATCTAAATAATCTTCAGGCAACTTGAACTGGACGCACTTTAAATCCCGCGTAAATTGAAATCTGATATGGCTTGATCCAACCAAGATCCAACTTGGATCTTGGAAACACGACGCACTGCATACGTCTCCAAAAGTGTACACTGAAGCCTCAGTGCTGAAGCCACACTGAAGCTGATGCAGAAAAGAAAAGCGTTGAAGTTTTGATTTGCTTTTGGACTCTCGTGGTCCGTGGATTATATTTACTGTTGTGGATATAAGTGGCTAATGCGTCATGGTACTGTTTTTAATTTTCTGTGCATAATTGTCTTCCAGCTTTGCCCCTGCCATAATTTACAAGGAAGGACGTGAACCACCCGGACATTTGCAGACGATATGGCATTTCGCAGGCTATTGAGCTTCAATCATGTTGGCAATAATTTTTGTCGAAAATATTGTCAAGGTAAGTAGATATACAATTTTACTGAATAATGGGGTGGGGGCGTTTGTTATAGTTTTCAGTAACTTGAGGACTAAGATAACAATGAAGAATGTGTTTGCAACCATTGTAAATCAGGTTTCACACCTCTCATTCTTGGACTGTTTTAACCGGGAAAGCGTGCTTTCACCACGCAGATTCCAACACTACGAACTGAGCTAGGGGACCGGCTTTTAGGGCTTCTACAACAAGCTCTGCTTGATAAGGCTCTGAATTATGAAATCATTATTAACTTATAATAATTCAACAGGGTTTAGGTTTAAAGGTTTATATTTATAAGCTTTCATTTTATGTTCACAGGGGTAGCCAGCCGAGATCCTTCACTGTATTTCTTCAGCAGCAGAGTCCAAGAACTTCTTTTTCAGCTGAATGACAGGCAGCATGATCTGGTTTTCAAGCCCAGAAAGCTGGGTCAGAAGCTAGATGCTCCCCAGTATGTGTTCATGACTGATGAAGATCTTGATAAGGTCAGACATTTTTTAGGCCCTTTCTGTGCTGGATTTAATATTATGGATTAAACCATTTTCATTTTAGTGTTATTTTGAACAGGCTTCATCCTAAAAACTTGTTTGAACTTTGATCATTGCTGCTCAGGGTCTTCTTTTTTAAATGCTTTATGATTTTGAAAGTGCAACTTGAAAAGGAAAATGTCAGGTGCTGGATTTACCAGCTTAGTTTCATTTGATGACTTAAGCTGCACCCACTTTCACTTATGACTCTTGTCATGAACATTCAATAATAATATTCCTTATTTTGCTTCCAGTATCCTCTAACCACTTTCCACTACTTTTCCCAACAGGAGCGCCGTCGGATCGAGCAGTGTCTCCGCGAGAAGCTCCAGGTACCGCCCGTACTGGGCCCTCGGAAACCCATCGAACGGGTCCTGGCCAAAGACCCGCGACTAGAAGGGCTGCACGACTCCAAGCTCGTCTGCATTGATATCTCGCCAGATTTATCCGACAGGGTGAGATTCGAATTCAGTGGAGGTCAGCGGATATTTTCTGATGAGTGTCAGATTGCACATTTTTTCGAATAAATTTTACTGGCCGTTTATTATAAATATAATTCGGCGAGTTTCATTATGCTCTCCGGAAAAGAATTAACCTGGTCTGTCCTCGTACCGCAGCTCAGTTGGTAGAGCATCGAAAACCGAGTGCTGAGACCCGAGTTTGAGTCACCGGCCTGGCCCGTGCGAGATTTTTTACGGCGGTACTCTGTAGCTGGTGTGAGCGAAAACTGAGAAGCCACAGGTTTGAAACCACTTGAGTGGAATGAACCGTGTCCGGCTTTGATGGGAGCGTTAAACCTTGTCATCCAAAGTTTCCCGATTTTTTTTTAAATGATCGTGACGATTTTGGATCGTCGCCGTTTTCCAAATTATGCCTGTTGGGGTTTAGCGGTTTGTTCTAGTGCTACAAATGCACCCACACCAGTCTCTGACCACTATTGCCTCTCGTGCCATTACAGAAGCGGATGATCACCGTGCGAGAGCCGGACGGTACGCTGCGGACGGCCAACTGGCATGAGCGGGGCCGCATCAACCAGATCTTCCTGCCGGTCGACGGACGCACCGTCACCATGCCGAAAATGTTCGAGGAGCCTCACCTGACGGTGCGTTACGGGTGCTGAACATTGACGGCCGCGTTTTCAAAGCAGCTCTCTTTTGAAATGGTGGACGAATTCGTACGCCAGTCATTATATTCGTATATGTTAAAGTAGTAAGTGCAGTTAACTGATTGGGGCATATTCTTGCAGTAATTGTTATTCAATTATTACGTTTCCGTGAAGGAAACGGTTGCGCAACCGGTACATCATGTATCACTTCTACTATACCCCATAGCCGTCTTTTTCGCTGTACAGAGGGCTCACTCTAGCTGGACTGTCTGTCTGACCGGCGATCTCTCCTCCAGGAGTGCCTGGACCGAGAGGAGTACGTCTCCGTTCTGGACCGCGCCTGCGTCCAGTTCGAGCCCGACGACCCGGACTATATCCGCGTCACCAGCGCCACCTATGACCACGTGGACGCTGCCCGACTCTACGAGCGCCTGCAGAGCACCCGGCACTTTGGTGCGCTGGCCTTCTACCTGGCCTGGCACAGACGCATCGACAACCTGCTCCTCTACTTCATCCAGCTTGAAAAGTTAGTGGATGAGAGATTTCGGGGCGCTGATTTGTCTGTTACAGAATGCGTGGTTGGTGATTTTTATCAGCTCAGCTTTAATTTATAATTTATATTCGAATTCAGAGTAAGAACTCCAGTTTTGGCGTAGTTTGTTGCAAGCCGGACGCTAATGGATGTTACATTCATCAGCATTTGGCATGCAGCCCTCGTTATCCATCATAAAGGCACTATTTCTGTTCAGTGAATTGACACATACCGTTTACTGTGGTCTTGAACCGGAGCATGGGTCTGTGACCGAAAACTAGCCGAACTGCCCCTACCTACCGGTGACAAAGTTTGCGAGGCGGCCGTCTGAGAAATGCTCCGGTCGATAACAGAAGTTTATCCAAGTTTGGCCCGTAGCACACGGTGACTGAGCCATTGCGTCCGTGACGCTGATTGGGTTTCAAAGAGCTGTTGGACCTCGACCGTGCTTCTGCTGTCCTCTTGCTTTAATTGATGACCGTTTTTTGCTGAAGGAATTATTTTCATGTCAGCCTTAGACGTTGTACCGGTATAAAATAAAGAATGTGCACATATTGTTTTTCTTTTAAGGGTACAAGGACTGCAATCAAATAAACATGATCCAAATGTTCGTGACCAAATGTTCTAATTTGTTAGTGTTAGCGGCTGAATGTCACAATACTGTTGGATCAACCAAAATCCAACCAAAATCGTGTTCCACAGGCTACAAAATGAAATGCGAGATGCATTTTCATTTTATGTTTCTGATCACCATACCCGTTTCTCTGACTGGCGGAACATCTGCAGAAGCCAGACTGTTACACATCGGGAACTGTCATATACTGTCCGTCTGTCAACTGTCAACAAATCAAATACCGGCTACAATTTGACGTTTAACTGGCCTTTTGCCAGGTTGGACCAAGCAGTGAAACTCATCCATCTGTATCGGTTACTGCGATCGGCGGAGCCAATCAGCGATCAGACTCCGCCCACCAGGCAGGAATCCAGCCAATCAGACGGCTTCTCGTCATCGTCCGAGTCCGGCCCCGAGTCTGAGTCATCGTCCTCGGACTCGGACTCGGACTCTGAAGGAGTCCAACTGGACATAATTCGGGTGAGTCTGACATTTGGAGCGAAGCATGCCGTCGCATTCTGTTGTTAACTTCACGCTAAGTTATGGTGAGGCTTGTTGAATTTCATATTAGGTGCTCGTCGTTTCCCTACGGAGGTGAATATGAATATAACTGCATTGAAGTGCCACGGCGAATTCGCAGTATAACCGAAGTGAAATTAATGTAGCACACATTTTCGTGCCAAGCCTCAATCAGCATACCGTGTCATGGTTTCTCAGACAATGCCATTAGCAAGTAATGGGCGTGCCGATACCAACACGTGCTCTTTCCCACGACCTGCGACAGTTTCTTTTTGTTTCTTTTGCCGACATTTCCACGGCTTCGTCACAAAAACGGGATCCGGATGTCCGGCTACCTAATTAACATTGTAACCATAAATCGAACAGTAGGTACTGCCACGCGACTATGTAATGTGGTGTCATAGGGCATTATCGAAACGTATTGTTATACCATACGCCATCTCCAGATCCTCGGACTCTTCCCTTTTGTCGATTTTCCCAAAACCTTACTAAAAACTGTAGTGTCGTTTTGTTCTTGTATAGCTTTGCCCACGAGTGCCGGCGTTCTTCCTCACTGCCTCTTGCACCGAACTGACGTATTTCTCCCTTCCCTCCTTAGGATTACATTGAGAACGCATCGGTGAAGCGACCGGTGCTGGAGCTGGCGCTGCAGAATTTCCAGCACCTCTCGGCCGAGCGGCGACGGGTGGAGCGGGAACAGCGCAGAGCTGATGGCAGGCAGTGACCTGACCTGGCCTGACTACAGGTGAATGTCGGGTCGGACGGGCCCCAAACCTCGGAGACATGACAGGTGGGATGGCCCCCTGACCCTAGTTTTGTGAGAGACTGAAGGTGAGACAGTTGCTAAACAGAGCAGGCGATATTTGTTGTGTGGAGCTGGTCCTATGTTTGCCGGACTGAGACCATCAAGGGGTCAATTTTGTGAACAGAAGCGTGAAATGGCATGTATGTGCTCCATTTACAGTGTCTTTAGTCAGACTTGTTGGCGCAGAATCGCAGTCTCCTCGAATTAGTCGCGAAGCTGTGGTTTTCGTTGTCTTCGTTTTACTGTGTTCAATCGGGCACAGCTTTTTGATAATTTCTTTAGTGATGGTACGTTTGATTATCGTTTCTGCCTTTGATATTGAAAAACGGTTTAAGGAGAACCGGTCAACAAAATTTACATCGAGCCGAACTCGAGCTTCATAACAAGTTATATTGGCCGCCATTCGTGCGTGCTCCGTGCCACTTGTCCAATGATTATGTTCGGGGTTGAACCTGAGCGTGATCGTGTCCGTAGCAAAATACTGGAGCGACTTCGCAGTGAAATACAGGATGTCTGGACGGAAATGCCATTAAGCTCTATGTTGCATGGTGGGACGCGATGCCATCTGATTTATGACAAGCTTGGGGCTTAAATAACAGAAGCGCAATGCTATGGCACAATTATGGTGTTCCCTTGTGACAACAAGGCTCGCTGGATAATTTAGCAGCTTGCAAGACAATATCCCGGTGGTTCGAAAGGTGGCTTGTGTTGACGGGAATTATGGTCTGTTGGAGAATTTCGAAACTTGTTTGAATATGCTGAGAGCGATATTGTCTAGGCTGGCAGTCACGAACTAATAACAAACTTTAACTTTGGGACGAATCTGGTCGCCTCGGGCCGAAGGACGCACATCACAAGATAGTATCCGCCATGTATTCTTACTAGGAAAGTGCGGCATGCTTAGGCGTCACAATATCGTTGATCCAGAGATCGGCTCTTTGAAGAGACAGTCCCACACAAATGTGGTGAAAATAGCCTAATTACTCCCGTAGTCACATTATTGAGCGATAGTGTGAAATAAGAAGTATCGCCTATCATTGTGCAATGTGCAATGTACATGTTATATTGCGAGTACAGCAGGGGAGTTGCATCTCTCTTGTCAACTAAGTTGGAAAGACACTTAATGACTCAAGATGATCAAATCCTCAATTCCAGATCAACTTAAAAGTTAAACATCAACCAATGATTACGTACATTCTGAGTCTGACGGTAAGCTCTGTATCTCATCTGAATCAGGAGCATTTCCTCGCCGGAATCAAATCATTACATTTCAGGCTACAATCTCTATAGGTATTTAAACAAATCGTGGCCAGTGAGGTTCTTAGTTACCATCCCAGCTATAGTCACATCTTACGCATCATCATAAACACCCAGCGAGAAACAGTTCACCCTCAGCGACCGGCGCTGTGCCTTTCTTGACATTCTTGCCCCGACATCTCAATCGTCGTCGCTCTCGTCGTCATACACCTCGTCGATGTAGTCGCCGCGTCCGAACGGCGGACTGCGCTCGTAGTCGACGTCCCGGCTGCCGTCTCTGAGATGCGCCGCCCGTAGCGCGTAGTCCTGCTGCAGCTGGTTCAGGAAGTCGTCCTCGTAATCTAACGGAGAGGAGAATAGCGGTTAGACGTTACGGCAACGGTCAGGGATTGGGCAATGGGCATGTCAGGTCACTCAGGTGTGTGGACTTTCGATGGGTAATGGGTGACATACGCACATTACTAAGTTCATCCTTGTTTGGAAGATAAATCGGTGTGGTCTCTTGATGATCGGATGGTGAGACGCGATTTTATATGAATGCGTTATTATGCTGCATTGCTGTTATCAGTCTCGGTGCCGCATGCCAGGTTGACGTAAGAACGAGCCTTCCTCCTGCATAGGTCGGTTACGAAGGGCTCCCTGTTGTTTGCCGCTGAGTTTGGCGTCCAGACTGTGTCCCTGAGTCGCCGGGAGACGCCAGACGCCGCATCCCTACCCCCAGACTCACGTCCGTGAGTCACCGCGTGCTACATCCGGGACTCGGGAGTCGTCGGTCTCTGCGTCCGGGAGTCCGGGAGCCTGCCCCCCCCCCTCCCGTCTGGGAGCCTCCAGACTGCGTCAGGAGCCGTCGGGTGATAACGGATTCGGGAGCCACTGGGCGCTGCATTCGGGAGTCGCCGGCCTCCGCGCCCGAGAGTCGCCGACCGATACTGGAGCCGGGAGAGCGGCTGCCGACCAGGAAGTGTCTCGGCGCGGGGCGGGGCGGACCTCCCCCGGCCACGGAGCGATCGATACAGGTGATTACTCCCGTGTTTGTGTGCCCGGAGGCTACTGCGTGTCCGCGGGCCCGGGAGACTGGACAGAGCTGCGGTCAGCGAGCAGCGCTCGGCAGTGGGAAGTCCGGTATTGATTAACGGGGAGCACACCGTATCAATTTCCAATCAGTGTGCCAAATGGAAGTTAGGTGTTGCTTAATGGGGCTTTTAGTGGTACGCAGCAGCGCAGTAAAGCCTAACCACTTTCCCTAACCCTTGTCATACCAACGTGGGAGTCAGACGGCGCAAGGGAGGGACGCAGTGATGGACACGACATGGAACAGCTTCATAAATACATGACGAGGTGGCGGGTGCAGTGGTGGGAACCAGGACAGCCGCCGCGTGCTCGGAGTGCTACTCTGTTTTCAAGCCTCATCGCACCGGCCGCGTACTGGGCACATTGCAGCCCGCTGGTCAGGGATAAGGTATATTGCAGCCCGTTGGTCCAGGATAAGGTATATTGCAGCCCGCTGGTCAGGGATAAGGTATATTGCAGCCCGCCGGACGGAGGCTGGGTATATTGCAGCCCGCATCGACCGATACCCACCTCCTGCATCGTCCACGTCGTATTGAGCGCTGGCGCCGCCCAGCAGGGCGAGAGCCGCCAGCACCATAGCCGCCTGAAAGCGAACGCCACGCGCCGAGTCATTTGACGGGAAAATGCCGAGCGAGGCAGGGAGGTCGGCGGTGACCGCGGCTCGACAAATAGTGCGGCGATCGACTGGGCGATGCTGGAGCGATCAATTGGATATGGTGTGAATTCAGAGATATTTAATGAATGAAATGAATGGACCTTGAAGAAAATGGGGCGAGTAATGCACTTCATAATGGGTAGTGGCCAGTAACACCACATAACGTGTCCATTAGCGAAATTACTGTCGTTGAGTTACCGGAAAGCATTTGGGGAATGGCCACTGATCATCCTGATAGCTGAATGACGCTGGCTAGTGGCTCTCCATGCGCATTTAACCCGCGCCCCGTAGGGCTACCGGCGGACCCTACCACCCGTAGGGGGGGGGGCCGTATCGGCCCCCCCCCTAAGATCTCGGAAAGTTACCGGCCGATTTTCAAAATTCAAACGGCGTTCGATAGCCTCACCCGGGAACTACCTTGTGACCAAATTTCATTGACCTAGGTCAAACCGATAACGTCACAGGTCAGGTCAAAGGTCAGATTTTCACCGTTCACAGGCAATTCAAGAAATGTGCTGTGAAAGCGAGTAAATTGGTAATTTATTGAAAACCATCGATGGTACATTGTTCGTCAAACACATACTTTGCTATCTGAGGTCACTGATACCAGGTCAGGTCACAGCGAGGTCAGGTCACCGGGGGTCACAATATGAATGTGTCGTGTGATACATGTTTTATGGTCCATTTTACATGACAAATGCGATTATGTGGGTTAGGCAGCCTTTGGGGCCAGCCTAGGTCACGTTTTTGTGAAGGTCAGGTCATGGTCAGGTCAAATTAGGTCAAATTTCAAAGTTGATATTTTTGCATAAAATGGGTATCGATTCGATGCAGCTCGTCACGGGGAGTCTAATGGTGGTCTTCGTTTTGCTCTACGAGTTCTAGAATTGCCAAAAATTGAGTTTGAAAATTTGACGTCATCATTTTTGAACAGTTTTTTCGCTATAACTTGGCCAAAAAACGAGGTATCGATCTGAAATTTGGTATGTAGATAGAAGACGGTAGGCACTATCACATATATTCCGGTTTTTTCGAAACTCAAAAAACTTTTTGGATTTTTTGGCGAATATATCCAAAAAAATGCTTTTTTGATTTTTGGGGGTCAAAACTCAAAAATTTCAAAAATTCGAGATAGCAGTTTTGTAGCCCTGTCAATTCTACACCTTTTAAGTCTTGATCATTTTTCTGTATCTTCAAAGCTGTAGTCCTGACAGGTCTTCTCGCGAAGGTCTTTTTTCGGTCGAAAATGACAGAACATGACGTCACTCTGACGTCATTTGTGGCCAACCTATCATAGCCTCTGGAAAAATTTTTGGTCACAATGTGTAAAATTGATGCCCGGAGGGGTCCTGAAAGTTTGGTGGCGATATCTCCAGCCGTTTAGGAGATATCGATCGAAAAGGACAGGGGGGGGCCGTTTCGGCCCCCCCCCTACGGGGCGCGGGTTAACGACGGTTAGTTCTATAATGTATGAGGGCAACATGAAACAACGGTATTACAACACGTTTACTGGCAGGTTGTATGATTGCTTCATAACCACCATCATAAAATAGCGCAACTTGCAAAGGCATCGTTGAGCACACACATACACAAATCCACACATATCCGCACCACGGCATTTCGTGTAGGTACTGTTTCCTTAGGTACCTACATACTTTTTAGTTCACAAACTCACCACCAAAGTAGCCTTCATCCTTCAGCGCTGTCTTCTCAGAAGCTCTGCCTCGCTACAGTCCTCACTCTTCCTTCCGCACACCCTGTACACTGCCACCCTACAGTCTATCCCAAATACGTCTTGCCCCAATTAACGCCTATCGACTACCTCTACCCCTCAGTGAGTCGCTCCTACCACCCTCTGACCCGCCGTCCGTCCGTCTGCCGGCTCCGTCGGCTCGTAGCGCCGTCGGCGGCGACGATTCTAGCTCCGTCGGCGGCGACGATTCTCCGTCGGTGGCGCAGGCCCAGCCGCGTCGGCAACAGGTTTTGGTCTGGTCCGACGGAAGGGAAGGGGAAAGTGGTAGGCTAATAATGATGGAATATAGTAAGTTTGGAGGTAGATAATGGTGCTGGCTGGCTTAAACCAATGTCTAAGTGGTGTAGGTATGTGGTATAGGTAGGTATGGTTAGATTTGTCTGCAGTTGGCACGAACAGCCGCACCCAGTGCTAAATTGATCGTACCCGGCTTTGCGGGCATGCTTTTGCTTCTGAACCTCACGAAAACGTGGTGAATTCCCCATCACTTGATTGCAAGTCCTGGACGTCAAGCCCGCTTACTGTGGGCTTCCCCCTAGTCGGCTCGTCCATCTAAAAGGTCAAACTAAAATGGAAATGTGCAAACGGGGAAATGGTGTCTGGTTGCTAGGGAGACCGTCTCACCGACTCCCGGTATAACGTATGAAATTGCCTGCCATGGGTTGCAAATGGGCTATTGGGGTGACGAGGGTATTCATGCCTCGTACTCAACGTTCGCAATGCAGATGAAAATTCAGTGAGTGGTCCATCATGCCGCTTGGGACTGAATGGGTTCTACGATTCGTTCAATAGCAATTGGACGTGAACGGAATCGACTAGAATGTCGGTATTTCAATTTGAACTGTGATGACGTAGTTTCCTGATAAATACAGTGTTATGATGAGGATGTTTGATTCGTTGTTTGCTCACTTTTGACACAAAACACTACGAAATGGAGCGCTCTTGATCAAATACAATCACAATCATAATGTGACATGCCCAAGGCTGCTATCGGGTAATGCCCTGGCAGGATTGTATGTAGAAAACCGATAGGTCCTGCGAGGGTTAATAGAAGTAATGACGTCCAGGACAGTGCGCAATCAGCTAAATTTAGAAAGCATACAAGAAACGAATACTTGTCCGATAGATTACCATAATTGCTCGTGTCAATAGGAGTCGCAGACTCGCAGCAGTCTATGAATGGGGCCATTACCGTCTAAAGATGGCCACACCGTGACAGCCCCCACGTTCACGAGGAACCATCGACCCAATATTCTACAGATGGCATTTCACACAATTACACGGAATGACACTTCAAACAAATTAGCAGAACGTCAATTTGTTACTGTCACCCTTCCCTCTATTCTTAGAACACGGTGGCTCTACAAACTGTTGTCATACGGGAGCAGCTTGTACCGTTTCAATTCGATGATTAGTGGTATGCTTGTAATAAAAGCTTGTAAGTTGTATGTGTATAACGTCAGCCTGCTGATACTTGTTTTGTGTGTTGGCTAACAGATTCATGTTATCTATGTTAGTGGATGCCTTGAGAAATATGGAAACACTCGTATATTGCGTCAAATTCTTTAATATTTCTCATCGCCAATCCACAGCGATCATCGAAAAGTTCACACAAAGGAGCGTAGCATACATCGGACACGATCTATTGGAAAAATGTCTGGCCCAATACTGTTCCCCTAGACATCTGTCGATCACTAATGGTAGCTGTGCGCGGCGAAGGCCGTGTATCAGTGTCATAGCACACGCACTACTGACTGCCATCACAATGTCGCCAATCAGTGGTCGATATCGTCGGAGAATATCAAAACACGCAAGGCACGCAAACGCATACTGATGTGAGGCAGGTTCCTGGAATTGTGCTGACCGCCAAAATGGGAGGCCGGGGCGAGGTCGGAGTGGTATTAGCCCATGGGTCCAGCGCGAGTGTAGTGTTGTTAGTTGTTGCGCTCAACGTGTAACAGTCATCGGCACCCGCTATACGACTGATTGCAGGTGCCCCAAAGCAATGACCTGTGGCTCATTGCGACATTAGAAACGAGCTTAAGCCTCGTTGATCATAAAGTTAGGACAACCGGAACACTGATACCCAAAATAATGGAATCCAAAAGCAGCTACCGGATGCTTTCCAGCCGAGTTTATCGGAGCATATTGAATCTGCGTTCCTCTGGTAGCAAAAATATCGCAGAGCTTCGCCACGCTCAAACTCTTCACAAACATCAAACGCCAGCCGTGCCGGCCTGAGCTCACCTAAGAGATCAATACCGCCGGTATAGCTCAGCTGCGACACCGCCACGGTGCCGTAAGGCGCAGGACGAACGCGGACGGTAGATTGACGGCCTCGCGGGGTTATGCATCGCCAGGGTCCTCGTCACAGCGCCGCCTCTTCTCTATAGAATGTAGCACCGCCTGTGAAAACAGATGTGGTTTAAATAATGAAACAGGACCTCTAATGAAACTGCTGGGGGGCTTAGTTCGAGGAAGATGCTTGACTTAAAGATGCAAACACTCCAAAACTCCCAGTATAAGTCCCCGAGTTGAGTCCCAGTAATGAGGCTGCCACCGTGAACATTTCTAAATACGCCGTGATAGCGCTTTGTTAAAAGAAAATACAGCATTGCCGTTAGCCCGTCGCTCTATTTAGCTCAATACCGCTCCAATTATACATGGTATTCCCTGAAGCTGCGTTTGTCATATATTTCTGAGTGCAGTTCTATCGACCCTGTCGGAGTTGAAAGCGTCGGGCCCGAGGGACTCAGTCTGCCAAACACATTCCATTTGCAGCGGCAGACGCACGCACTGAACAGTAAACAACCGCTAAAATGCTATCAACTGAATCTACTATGGGAACAGATTCAGCGTGCAATAAACCTCCGCATAACTGAGACTGACGGCAATATTTGCATTTATTGCATATTTTATTTGTCAGCTCTCGGCATCAGACTAGATGCCGGCAGCGCTCTTGCGTTGCCTTGGGCCAGAATTGGAGGAACGGTGCTGAGGGCACACACCGGGCAAAACCACCGAAACCCAGACTGAGCTTGGACTGAACCTGAAACCAACCGAAACATCCCAAAAATGCTTGAAAGCACGCGAGATTGGTGTGGATATCTACCTACAGTAAGATATGAATTAAAGGGACTATCCCAACTTTAACATGGGGTTTGAGTTGAGATAGCCAAGTTTGCGGCGAGGTTCAGAAACCACTATCTATCTAGGTTGCAACCCCCGCGGCCTCTTGGTGTTGAAGAAATTCGTTCCCTTCATTTGAAAATGGGCCTTGTACAAGGCCCTATCTTCAACATGGAGCGACCGTTAGTGTGACGTCACCTCGTTTAGTCATTCTGATTTAAATGGGTTTGTTCGTTGAAAAATCGCTTAAAACTTGGTCTGAACTTTGTTGTGGTGCCTACAGAGTAAAAAGAATCAGCTTTATGACAGTAATGTGGCCAGGGGAAGGAGGTTATTTTGGGCTGTGACGTCACATATTTGAAAGTTTGTGTTTGGAATATGGGAAGCCTAAGATGTTTAATGAAAAATAAATGCCAGAACCGTGTTCCTGGTCATCCAATCTATGAAGTCGGGCACAATTTAACTGGTTTTAACAACATTTTAGAAGGTGGGATAGTCCCTTTAACTGCACGTGCATAGTTCATGCCCCAGGCACCCCAGTGCAGTCATTTTCATGACATCATGTAGCGTGTGTCTGGTTCTATCAGTGTACCGACTTTTGTGTCGCTAGATCGACGTTTCCCGGGATCAGAGGATCCCTCGTCAAAACCGTTATCCGCCCCCCGCACGCGCAGCTTGCACCCCTCGGATATTATCTCGCCGGAATGTCGTGATCAAATGTATTCTTCTTATGACCTGCAAGTTTTGAACCAGTTAGAGCTGCCGTTTACCCTGCAGGCGTGGCAACGTACGAAGGGGTGCAATCGGCTTGCACGTGCATAGCTCATGCACCACAGAGTTTAGCTCAACCAAATGTGCATTATTTTGGAGGCCTTGCCTGGGACTACCATTGAACCGATTTTGAGGTTGATAGCTTAAAATTTCTTTGAGCCAGAGGACCTCACGTCAAAACGGTTTTCCGACCCCAGCACGTGCAGCCTGCACCCCTCGCAGACGGTGACCCCCCTGGAAACTGGTTCAAGGTGTTACCGATGTGTCCCGCCAGTATGGCTTTGCCCGTGACCTCGGGTTGACCTGTAGCCTTGACAAAAAATTTCGTGTCACCGAAACTTTGAAGCGGAATAGCATGTGCCACGAAGCACCGAGCGAACCGAGGCCAGCACCAAAAGTTTACCTCGCCGGAGACAAATCAAACGGTCCCACTTTCGTCCCGATCGGTCCACCCATTTTGACTCCAGGTCCAAAAAAGCTTGGACAAACTCACATACTCACTCACTCACTGACAAACAGGTTCAGCCGAACTTTTTTTCAGCGACCCACCAATGGGAATTTCCGGATGCAAAAGCATGCTATCGCATGCTTTTGATCCTCCAATTCTGGACTATCTCCCACAACAACCATAGGAAGTGCAAAGCTTATGATATATTGTGTTGCAATCCGATAAAAAACTGCCCGCATCTGTGCATTCAACCACGATTGACCGCGACAAGCCGTCCCATAAGCCTTCCCTTGCCGGATCTTGGATCCATTACCTAGTTATTGGATTCGTTACCTGTTGGATCTTGCATCTATTACCTAATGGATTCGTTACCTGTTGGATCTTGCATCTATTACCTAATGGATTCTGTAGGCGCTGGATATTGCTTTACGGGTGGCTTGAGCTGAGTGATTTTACTCTGATTTATTTCAAACTAAAGTTGATCAGGATGTCGTAATAGTTCGGTAATAAAAAAAAATATAAACTCAGGCACAAAATAGCACACTTCACACCGGTTCTTATCACCGTCTTTCTCACAGGTTCTTCTTCTTTAACGCACACAATCTCAACCACAACCACCGTCAAAAGCGATTTTTGGTCCGCGGCTACATGAAAGGCTTATCTTATTCTACACCAATTAAACTTAAATATCACTTAACTTCTTCCTTCCTTGCCTTGCGGTTTCGATACTTATTTTCAAAACCTTTGTTCTAAACCTATTTTACTTGTTCCAAATTATTTCTGTCCTACTTTTCTACTTCAGCAAAATTTTATTTGGTGTAGCTCGTGCCCGTCACGAATGACGCCGCCGACATAGAAACGGCATCTACACCCCCGCCCCCGTCGGCGCACGTTAGCCCGAGCGTCACTTAGTGTTCGCTTCGACGGTTGTTATTCTCCTGCTTCCGCGAGGAGAACCAGCTTAGTCACCGGACGCGTCAGCACTGTGCTTTTCGTCTGCACGTCCGCCGCACGAACGGCTCCGCCCGCATCTGGAAAGACGCGTGTCACGCGCCCGATGCTCCATGTGCTCCTAGGAGCGTTCTTGTCTGCGATGATAACTACGTCTCCGACTTGTAGGTTTCTTTCTTCCCTCGTCCACTTCTGCCTGTGCTGCAGAGTCTGCAGATATTCTTGGCTCCATCTTCTCCAGAACTCTGTTGCCAGGTGCTGAACCTGCCGCCATCTTCTTCTGGTGTAGTTGTCGCTGTCGCTAAACGCACCAGGCGGTAGGTGAGGGCCGGCTCGAAGGAGAAGAAGATGGTTGGGCGTCAGAGGGTCGAGATCCAGTGGATCGTCAGACGCTGGTGTCAGTGGACGGCTATTGAGAATCGACTCAACTTCACACAGCAGTGTCGATAGGCCTTCTTCGTCCACGACTTGACTGAGCAGTAGTGAGCTCAGTATCTTCCTGACAGAGCGAATCTGTCGCTCCCATACTCCACCATGGTGAGAAGCGCCAGGTGGGTTAAACTTCCACTTCACGTGATGCTTAAAGGTAGTGTGCCACCTTTGAAAGATTTCCCATTTTATTTTTCCTAGGATAAGAAGCTTCTGTTTTTACCTAATATCGCAAAAAAAATCAAAAATGGGCCTGGAATAGTGCCTTTTTCGCCTAAAAGTTTATCGGTTTTCGATATGTATAACAACTGTAGTGGGCCGACCTGCAAACAGGCGTCGGCAACAATCGCGAATGCGGCGCACATGTGACAATAAGCAAAGGTCATTATAGAGTTACGACGTACGGGAATGAGTTATCAGCTGTCTAATCGTAGACAACACAATGTCGAGCCTTAAACTGTAAGCCTGTATTGGTATTGTTTCTTTTATTTGGCTGTCGAACATTATTTATGGTTTGAAATATGATTTTATGTAAAATAATTGATATGAAAAAGCCGTCTCTTAAGTTATGACCCCATTTCACCACACGCAAGTGTCAGAAATGACAATGATCAGCTGACGCATTTTTCTTGGCCGAAGTCAGAGCGCGCGGCCCGACTCACCACCACCGCACCACAAAGTATGAGCAGAAGCCGCGCCCAAAGCCAGGGCCCCGGTAACGTGAGGTAGCCGAGTCGGGGCAGCGTGCGCTGACCCAAGCCGGGGCCGCAGCTTTGGGCGCGGTCTACCGCATCCCCGCGGGCAGCCCCGGGCTATCACATGACACCGGGAGGACGCGCGGCCCCGGCTTGGGTCAGCGCACGCTGCCCCGACTCGGCTATCTCACGTTACCGGGGCCCTGGCTTTGGGCGCGGTCTACCGCACCACCTAACAGGCGTGTTCGAAACCGCAGGAGATGATGATGAACGGGTTTATCGAAACTTGATTGGATGAGCATATCGGTAATAGCGATTTCAGTGTGTGCATTTATTGTTCATAGTGGTGCGAAATGTGGTTGGGGTACGACCGACAACCCGTCGGGGCGAATTTCGCACTGGGGTACTCAAAATTTGAAGAATTTAAGACGTTTCCATGAGTTTTGAAGGTATGGATAAGTTCTAAAAATCCGGTTCTCCTTATCTGGGCCATTAACTCCATACGGTCCAGGAAAGCTGGCACACTACCTTTAAGCATTGCTTCATGGATCTGCTGCAGATTCCATCTGTCTATCTCTTCACGCAGCTCTCTTTCGGCCCCGACGAGGTTCGTTCCATTGTCCGACCGTATCTCTTCAGCTTGACCTCTCCTGGATACGAATCGGCGCAGGGCATTAATGAACGAGTCCGTTGAGAGGGTGTGAGCCACTTCAATGTGAACCGCTCGGGTCGTTAGACAGGTGAACAGCACGCCATACCGTTTGACCATACTTCTTCCCTTCTTCACGAGCAGGGGGCCAAACAGGTCTACCGCCGAGAACGTGAACGGCGGCCGGTCGGGCGTAACTCGATCCACGGGCAGATCGGCCATCTTTTGCGTCAGCGGTCTTCCTTGAAGTCGTCGGCATGTGAGACAGCGGGACAGGACCCGCCGAACAGCTGCGTTTGCACGCACCACCCAGAACTTCTCTCTGAGTGAAGCTAGGACATGCTGACGGCCTTGATGACCCACTGATTGATGCACGTCTTGGATGATGAGATCCGTTACGTGTGACTTGGCCGGCATAATAGCCGGATGCTTGCTTTCAAATGCTTGTGTAGACCGACCGAGACGCCCTCCGACTCGTAAGACGTTCTGGTCTAGAACGGGATCGAGGCGGCTTATCGGGCTGGAGCGCTTGACATTTTGCATCCCTCTCAGTCTGCTTATTTCTTCTTTGTAGGTTTGTGATTGAACATAGCTGAGCACGGCCGTCTCTGCGTCGTCGATTTCTTCCACAGACAGGAGAGCTGGTGTGGTCGGCTGATCAGCGCGAGCAGCTGTCCCCTTCTTGTTCGGCTTCTTCTTTTCGTTGGCCGATGTACTCGAGGCACTCGATCTGCTCCCGTCGTGTGCTGCTGTCCTCGTCTGCAGAGCCGAGAGCGCCCGCTCTGCCTTGGCCTTCAGGAGGCGTCTCAGCCGCAGGAAGAACGCCACCGCTCGCTTCAGTCGGTACCATGATGAGTACTGCAGTAGAAGTTTGTCTGTGGGGTTCTTCTCTGAGGTGCTTGTGACCGAAACTATCGCAGGTCGCTTCACTTCTGCGTCATTCTGGTCCAGTTGGACAGGTAAGTTCAGATCCACAGGCCAGTGCTCTTCTTTTCTCCACAGGAACTCCGGTGCTGATGTCCATCTCGAACGATGGAGAAACTTCTCCACAGAAACCCCACGGGAGGCTTCATCAGCCGGATTCGACTTGCCATCGACGAATCGCCACTGACTTGGGTCTGAGTGCTGCTGTATGTGTTTGTCAGATCAGGTCCTTGTAGCAGCTGATCGTTCAGTGACACGCCGCCGTACTTTGCTGAGCAATCGAAGACAACTCGCGTCTTTTCTGGCTTTGCAGGATGGCTGACGGCATGGTGAGGCAGATACCATGTCTTGCTAAGTCGATGGAGCTGGTCGGGAGGGACAACTTCAGCGTGACCTTCTCGGATGAGTTCTTCCACACACTCAGTGTAGCGCTGATGTAGACCTTTTCTTGAGCCCTTCGGCTCGTCTTTCAGCCATCTTGCGATTATTCGGTAGGCTAGTGTCTTCGTACTTCAGTGGTAGAGCTATTTCATACTTTCCGTCGCGCAGTGTGATGCTGTCATTCACTTGTTTTTGCCAAAGCTTATCTTCGACTGACAGACTTGGTTCGCTGCCGACCTTCTCCGTGAAGTCACTGTTGTACATATCAGTCAGCATTTTAGCTATATCTTCTTTAGCGCTGGCGCCGACTCGGTTCAGTTTGACGGAGTTGCTGCTGGTGATGTTGGTTCTCTGGTCGCTGGGGCCCACTATGGTCCAGCCGAGGCGGGTCTTGATGGCGTATGGTCCGCCGTCTTTGCAGTGTACGACGTCCCAGGGCTCCATTGCCAGAGGACAGTTACATCCGATCAGCAGGCCGACGTCTTCTGCTTCCACAACCGGAATCTTTATGCCAGCGAGGTGAGGCCACTGCTGCACGACAGATGCGTCCGGTATATCGCTGCTCGTGACAGGGATCTTCTTGATTGTGTATGTACACGGCAGTTTTACGCTGCCGCTCCCGTCCAGGCTTGATACTTGAAGTCCGGTTAGGGCTTGGCTGCTGATTTGTAGCTCGTCTTGCTCCACGGTCGTTATCGCCAGTGACGTTTCTTCTCCCTTTAGCTTCAACTTCTCAGCGAGAGCGTTGGTGATGAATGTCGCCGAGCTGCCACTGTCAAGAAAAGCGTACGTTTTGCTTGTTTTTCCGTTCAGGCCCGTGACCAGCACGGGTAGTATGGACATGACAGGTCCGGCTCGGTCCGTCGTCGTTCCGCCGCATACTTCACTTCTTGGCTCGGGGAGCGGACCGGGTCTTCCTTCTTCTGAATTTCTTGGGTCCATGTGAAGCAGAGTTGGGTGACGAGAGCCGCACTTCGAGCATGTCTTCCTTTTGCGACACTGTCTAGAGCTGTGCCCGTATCGGAGGCATCCAAAGCATAGGCCACTTTTCTTGACCAGCTCCAGTCTCTCGCTGGTAGTTGTATGCAGCACCTTCTGGCACGCTTCCAGCTCGTGACCTTCCTTGCAACACGGACAGAGTTCGCCGTTTGCTGCATCTTCCGTTGTTTTCGTCACATGAATTTTCGATTTCTTTACCTTTACAGCTTGTTCTCTTCTGTTTACAGGTGATGACTGTGTTCCACTGGAGATAGCAGCCATCTCAGCGGTTCCAAACACGGGATCGGCCGCCACTTCCACTTCCTTCTCCACGAACTCCACGACATCTTGAAAGCTGGGCTTCGCGTCCTGTCTTGTCAGAGAGAAGGCTAACCGGCGCCAGCCCTCTTGAAGGGCGGCTGGCAGCTTGCCAACAATCTTCTGCAGGTTCTTTGGGTGGTTTACCTCAGTTAGACTGCTGATGTCTTCCATAGCATTCAAACAGCCTCTCAGTTTGATAGCGAAGTCTTCCAGCCCGTCTATATCCGTGGCTCTGATCGCGGGCCAGGTGAGCAGCGTCTCCACGTACGCCTTAGATATTTTGTAGTCATCGCCGTATTTTCGGTCGAGAGCCTTCCGAGCCTCAGCGTAGCCCTTTACTGGATCAATGTGCATGTAGCTCCGCACTATAGTGTTGGGCTTTCCGTCTGTGTATTGATCCAGAAAGTGCAGGCGCTCCGCGCAGTCTTCTGTCCTTTTGGCTATCCTGCTTTCAAATGCGCGGATGAATCCTTTATACTCCAAAGGATCGCCTCGGAAAGTCTGAATCTGCGACTGGGGTAGCAGAGTTCTCTTCTGTTGAGTTAACAGTGCTTGAATAGCTGTCAGTTCTCGTTGCGAATCGTCATCGTCGTTCGCAGCTGAGCCTTGTCTTGGCATTGTCTCTTCATTGAAGACACTCGCGCTCATCTCAAGTGCCTTTTCTCTTGCTTCAGCAAGCGCAATTTCTTCTCGCAGCTGTAGCCTCTCTCGTTTCATCTTAAGCTCCATTTCTTCACGAAGAAGTCGTTCTTTTTCTTCGAGTAGAGCTACTTTGGCCTCTAGCTCTGCCCTCTTAAGAGTTTCTTGGGCTCTTTGGCTTGAGGTAGAGGAACTTGAAAGGAGAGACGTATGTGACACTGAGCTTCTGCATTCAATTGCCTCCGCTGGCTCTTCGGCAGCTAGAGCTTTCTCCAGTCTTCCTATCAGAACAGCCTTGTTGCCGCTTGTCGACAGGCCTCTTTTTCTGAGTTCTTCCCGTAGGGACTTTGCCGTACGTAACGGCAGGTCGTTTGGAGAGTCAGCTCCCATCTTCTTATGTACTTTGACTTACACTTGCGTCGTTTACGTTAAATGATGCAAAAACGCTTCTGACTAAATGTAGGCGCTGGATATTGCTTTACGGGTGGCTTGAGCTGAGTGATTTTACTCTGATTTATTTCAAACTAAAGTTGATCAGGATGTCGTAATAGTTCGGTAATAAAATAAAATATAAACTCAGGCACAAAATAGCACACTTCACACCGGTTCTTATCACCGTCTTTCTCACAGGTTCTTCTTCTTTAACGCACACAATCTCAACCACAACCACCGTCAAAAGCGATTTTTGGTCCGCGGCTACATGAAAGGCTTATCTTATTCTACACCAATTAAACTTAAATATCACTTAACTTCTTCCTTCCTTGCCTTGCGGTTTCGATACTTATTTTCAAAACCTTTGTTCTAAACCTATTTTACTTGTTCCAAATTATTTCTGTCCTACTTTTCTACTTCAGCAAAATTTTATTTGGTGTAGCTCGTGCCCGTCACGAATGACGCCGCCGACATAGAAACGGCATCTACAGATTCGTTACCTGTTGGATCTGCTCGCGCACCATACGCAGCCGGTCGGTCGTCCGTTCAATCAGACTCTGCTCGGCCGAGGAACTGCTACTGCTAGTCTCAGCTGGCTGGTTCGGCTGCTGCTCCGGTGTCTCGTGTATTCTGGAATGGACAAAACTTCAGGATCACGTGACATATGACTGTAGTTCTGAGAGATTGTACTTAGTCAGGACAAGTGCGTACTGCGTGAAAGGGACAAAATAAGAGGGCCAGATTTCTGTAAAACTACCGTCTCGAGTGCCTGAAACAAAACATAATATCTTATTCCGTTTCGACGACTGTTTTTTATGAAATATCCACGCATCAGATTTCCTTCATGTTCTTCTGCCTTTCCTCGGTTTGTATTTTTAGCACCTCATCTCGTCATTAACTGGGACAAGACTTGTTCGAAATGAACAACAAAGTCGGATTCGGACGATTTTGCAGCAGCACGGCTTAGTTTTACATCTCGGTAGCGCATCAGACTCGAACACTTCTTATGTAAACTTATATAAACTTCGCAAGATCACTCATTCCGTTGAGCCAGGTCATGTTTGCTCTTGCTAATGAGAAAACTTTAATCATTAAAAAACAAGACTTAAACGCTCGTTGGACACGCCGCAACTACCTGGCCGTCCGTTTCATACCGTCGTTCACGGTCACAAAATGCCGTCATTGATAGGTATCGAGCGAATCGACAACCGGTCAACTGCGTAGAAGCGGCCGTGTCAAGTGCCGTGCGGGGCGTTATTTTAGCCGGCAGAGGACATCAACGCCCAACCTACTACCAACAGCCATCGAGTGACTCGCCGTCGCTACTCACCTTTTCCGTTTGAAGACGATCCGTTTCCGTGGCCGGTCGGGGGCGGTCGGAGGCTCCGGCTGCTCCGGCGGTGCAGTCTGCTGTGCTCCGCCATCCGCCGCATGAGGGACCCACTCGCCCGGCAGGGGCAGACAGGGTCCGATCAGGGGCCCGGGGGGCTCGGCGGCGGGCGGAGGGTCACCGGAGGGGCCCGGGTCGGCTTGAGCTGGCGGTACGGCCGCCGTCCTCTCTCCCGGTCTCCGTCCTCCCCGACCTCTGTGGGAGGGTCCCGGGGTTAGACACAGTACATCGAGCGGGCGTGGAAAGTGAGTGCTGGCCAGCGAAACGCCCTGAACTATACAAGAGGGCGCTGATCAAAGTCATCAACACGATGATCAGCTGTAAGCGGGTAGTTCCAAGAAGTAGGGACGACGTAGACCCAATACAGGATGTACTGTATTCCGCGTCAGGTCACATTTGGATTACAAGGACGGAATGAACCAATTAGTTACGTTCCAGAAAACAGCGGCGAGCAATAGATCTATTGATCTCTCACCAACAGCCTGGGTGCTCAGCTGAGCAAGAAAGAGCCAAACGATGCCCTATCGCGAGGTAGGGTAGTGTGGGGTAATTTGAACATATTTTTACGTCTTCTCCGTTGTACCAAATTCCAGCTTAACCCTGGATGAAGAAAAACTGTTTCAGTAGCGCAAGTGTCACTTGCTTTCACCATGCAAGCCTCATTTTTGGACGAGCCGAGCATGCCTTGAAAAGCATAGCCTCACTTCTCCACCAGGTCACGGTGTGCTCAAATGGCCCCACCGTGGGGTAATTTGAACATACTGCCTTCACCTGTCACAAAAACGATAGTCTCGCCAGCACCGATGTTGTTTGACCCATAAACAAATAGGCAGGACAATTCTAAACATACCTTCACTTGAAAAATCAACACAACAACAAAAATAACAGTTGCAGAGTATCAATATCTGCACGCTGCACACCGGTCAGTTGACAGAATTCGCCTGTCTTCAATTAACAGAAAGTCAATCATTTTTGTTCGATAAAAACTCTCCCATCCTTACTGCATCTGTTATAGTGGTGCCAATCGAAACCTGGACATTTGGAGTTCTGATTTTGTCCAATGTCCAATTCGGAATTGGTTGGACAAAGGTAGCAGACTGGACAACATTGGACGATGGCTTGCAACACTTCAGCGCTTTTTATAAAGTAGTCGTGCATAGCATTGATTGGCGAATGGAAAGCTTGTTAAGCTCTCAATATAATGAAAACTTTTCGGCTGGTAAAATTACATGATAAGCAATATAAATGACGGTTTTGAGTGTTGATAGCTGCATAAATTTTCGGACATATTTGGACAAATAGTTGACTTTAACATTTTTGGACGGAAAATCAACAAAAATGCTGGACATTAGACGGATATTAGACGTAAATTTTCTAAAACTGGCATCACTTATCTGCTACTGCCTTGGGTCGAAAATATTGGCAAAAAAAAGCCTGGGAGCTTTGTATTTTTCGGAGCTATCCCTGTCTTCATTCAAATTCTCACACTATGTTCAAATTACCCCACGCTAAAAGTTATTTTGCCATTTTAAAAAACAGGGTTCAAAAGCAAATTTCTTGGATTGAAGGCACTGATTAGGTCATTATACAACAAAAGCCGTTGCGTATTAGGCGCTAGCAATGCAAGATTTTGCGCTGCAATGAAGTTGCAATGACGTTTTTAGGCGTTTTTACTTGCGAAAATGGTCTTTTACAGTGTGCGTCAGCATCTTCATTCCATGAAACTTTAAACCCCGTTCATATGATAGCCCTTTTAGTTACGATAATTTCCCTCATTGGTCATATTGTCATGCCACTTATGGATTTTCCGTAATTTTGTGTTTTTCACACTATGTTCAAATTGCCCCACATGTTCAAATTACCCCACCCTACCCTATAAAACAGAAAAAAACGTATTGACGCAAATCAAGTGTAAATTATCACAAATTATTGGAACATGTCACAGGTTCGGACGTCATTATTGTAAATGGCAGCTGTCTAACTTGCATTTTCCACGAGAATGTCCTCATTACTTTACACGACATACAATATGCACCACATGCCCTCTGACACTCGGAAAATTGCGGATGTCTGTGCTACGTACAGTGAATTGCATGAAAAATTCACGTGCCCAATACAGCACGAGGAAATCGAATTCATAGACAACAATGAGCCTTGAGACTGCGACGCGTTGCACGTCATTTCACTTTTCAGTGACAAAACTTAGGTCTGTGCCACCTCTTCGTCCATCTCACTCACATCCCTTCCTCATTCCTCCGGCACTCTCTAAAATAGTATTTCCTCTACCCCACCTGGCCAGTCCGTTTCGGTAGTAGAGTCGCCTCCAGCGCAGTTTGTCGGCCGTCTCCTCCAGAGTCTCCAGCTCAGGAGCGTAGCACGCCTTCAGGTGGGTACCGAAGAAACTGCGGTCATCCAGCTGCACTTTGGCAAACCTGGGGAGCGGGAAACAGCGGTTGTTGGGAAAATGGCAACAGTGAAAAGGAGGGCCTAATGAAATTTGTGATTCCTAGTTGTATTTAGCTAAGGATTTAGTATGATTCTAAAATAAACCATGTGTTTTGGGAATCATTCACATATTATGAATACGCGTTGATTCACACACTATGTTCAAAACTCAAACCTTACGTGATTGTGAATGTTCGATAACATTACCATATGTAGGACCTAGTTAGTCACTAAACAGTAACCATCACACTAACTACCCGACCCAAAACTGTGCACATCCATCGCTCTCTCCCATACCTGGCAGCCGCCATCCGTTTGTACTGGACATGGTAGACCTTGGTGAACCGTTCCGTCTCATAGCCCTCCACGGGTCCGAACTGAGCCAGCGGGCCGAACCGCTGGCACAGCGCCGCCAGCTCGTCAGCAATGTCCAGAGAGGTGACATTTCGCAGTAGCAGGTGACGCGACTCGTCAGCGACCGTGTACACCTGGAGGAGGGGTAAGGGGGTGAATTCACACCTGGGGGAGAGTCAGGAGTGAAGATACACATGGGGAAGGGGTCAGGGTGAATGTGCACCTGGGGGAGGTTTCAGGGAAGAATGTACACCAGTGGAAATGGTAAGGGGTAAATGTACGCTTGGGTTAATAACAGGGTTGGCAGGGGGTGGCAAAAACTGGTTTTTGCCAGTGGTTTTAACCGGTTTGAACCGGCTGGCAGAAACCCTGGTGGCAAGAACTGGCAACAACTGGCTAAAACTCAGATGGTCAAACCTACAACTTTTCTAGTTAGGAATGGATTTGAAATGCACAAATGCATTTCTGGTAGTTATAGAGATGCACTAAACATTCTGAAGTTTGCCTCATTACTTATCCCTGCTTAAAATGTCTATGCATGTCAGTAGACATCCACAACGGAATGTATTTCCATGTAGGGGAGAGTGGGGCAAGACGGCCACGGTAAGTAGGGTGCCATGCGGTGCCGTGCGCATATCAGTGGCAGATACCCCTTCGTACTTCTGATTGTGCAGGACTCACCCAGTCACCCTTGCACTGGCTCATTTGTCACCCCCAAAAGGCATCTTACTAGCTCCTTATGGAAAGCCCATGAAAATGTTTCTGAGTTATGAAGCATTTCAATGGTCAATGTCACTTCTGTTTGAAAGCATAAAGCTTTCACCGAATTCTCCTTAAAATGTTTCATGTTCAAATTCATGTCCAGGCATAGCATTGTGATATTTCTTAGTTTTTGCCAGTTTTTGCCACTTTTTGCCGGTTTAAACCGGTTTAAACCGGCAAATGGCATAAACTAGTTTTTGCCGGCAAAAATGCCAACCCTGGTTAATAATCACCTGAGGAGGGGATCAGGGGGTGAAAATATGGTTGCGGATGGAGAGTGGGGGCTCGGGTGAGTGTGTGACTGGGATATCGGAGGTGAATAGTTACACACTTCCGGAACGAATTTGAAGCGTAAATGAGCACCCGTTCGGCAGTGTGAGAAGGCGAATGTACAGGTCTCGCGGGTTTTAGCGGTAGGTTTTGCACCTAGAAAATTTAGTGTACTTCAGGCTACATCTTCGTCGTCTTAAGCTTTGAAGTGTTGAAGATGCGATCGACTTGTTGGGTAACAAGCCGGCCATGATCGTGTAAATTGGCTTCATCGTAGATCGATTAGTTTCTGAGATATAACCGGAAATGTAAAAGTGCAAAACCTACCGCTTAATCTCGCGAGACCTGTACGGTTGCCTCTTATGTGTGGAGCGGCGTCGGATGATAAATGCCAGACACAATAAACAGAAACGATACAACCAATGTTGCTGGCCTGGCTGGTATGTGACCTATTTATCGCTGCCCACTGTGGCAAGACGATAAATAAACACTTTTTGCCTACATCTGAGTAATATCTTACACCATCACGGATAACAGGAAAAAAACAACAGCTTGATTTCACAATGTATTTTCTAGAAAAATGCATCGCAATTGGGCTCAGCTAGAGCATACTAGCAATGCATCATGAATGGGTAACAACGTTTGCTGGAGTCCATAGCGTGAATATTATGTACCATTTGTGACGCATTCCAACGGAGTAACCAGAGACATACACGTACAAACGTACAAAAATCGTATAAAAAGAACGTGCAACCAGAATCGTCAATGAGTAATGGCGGCTTGAGTACAAAACATATTACGTCCTCGCCTTGGATATACAGTCAAAAGCGCATGTACGTCACTCCAGCCAGCTGACTCCCGCCATTCCGCTGCCCTCAGTCTCTGTCACTCAGTCGACTTCCATCTCATGATCGCTCTCCCCTTCCTAACCCCGACGCTCGCCTCTCCCTGCTCTCCCTCAGTCGACCTCCATCTCGCGATCGCTCTCCCCATCCTCCTCTGCCCGTTTCCAGACACACACCATGTTGTTATGAGTCACACCCACCAGGTACTGTTCGTCCTCACTCAGACACACGCGGTTCATCAGAATCGGAAAACGGTGCAGAGGCACTTTCCTCGCACGGGACAGCTCTTCGTCCTGGGGCCGCGGCCAGCACAGAGTGTTCACAGGCTCACCGCTAGAGGCACTACTGTCACGCCAGTTCCACATCCAGATGGCGCCCTTGTCATCACCGGCGGCCAGCAGGTTAGTGCCGGCTCCTAACCCCAGGTAGCTTTCTGTAGTGTCACTCCAGCGGAGCACTCGGCACGGCGCAGGGATGAGATCCACGCGAATAGGAGCTCGTCCACCTTCCTGGGGCGGCTCGAGGTCTGACAATGACCACACGTAAACACACCCACAAGAGGCACACTTCACCGCCACTTTCTCCGTCCCCAGAAGGGTGATCGCGTCCACAAACTCCTCATCCCCTTCACTGGCGCCTGCGGGAGGTTCTGGGAGCTTGTACCGCACCTCCCGCGGCTGGCGCTCGCCCCTCACCACATCCAGAGTCATCAGCCAGCCGCTGAGACCGCCCTCACACCCCGCCAGCAGGAGTTCGGCAGACGCGTGCACGGCCAGCGCCAGCGGCGGCGTGGCGGTCTCCAGTCGCAGCAGCTGGAACGGTTCAACCTTGTACAGCGGCGGTGCTGGTACGCCGACATCCCACAGCGACACAGCACCGTCACCAGTGGCGGCTAGCAGCCAGCGCGACCGGCGAGGGTGGAACACCAGTGCCGTCACCTCACAGCGCCCCGCCGGGCCCGGTGAGAACGTTGCGTACCAGGTGAGATTGTCCGGATGGAGCAGGTACACACGACCGGTGCCGCCCACAGCGAGAATGGCGATCCGACGAGCACCGATCTCACTCAGTCGCAGCCGGCTCCAGGCGAGAGCGCTCAGTCGCTCGCTGATGTCCGGGTGGGAGAATTTCTTGAGCAGTTTCCCGGTCTGTACCTGTATAAGACAGACCGAGTTGCCGCCGCACGTGGCTACCACGTCCCCCACGTCTCCTCCGCCGCCTCCGGGCATGAACTTGCAGTCCCAGAGGTCTGTGTGGACGTCAGAGGGGTCACCGCGAGCCGAGTGGCAGCGAAGGAAGTGAGCGGGCTCGTACTTGGTCGACACCTCGTCATCATCGTCCCAGTCGAGGTTTGCGCCGTCATGACTGTAGTCAGCGGGGTCGTACTGGATGGGCGGCGGGGGCGCCTTGGGCTTGGCCGGAGACTCGGAAGTGGTCTCTCGGTCGCCACTGAGGAGCCTCCGTCGGGCCGGGGTGCCGGGGGTCCCACCTCCAGCACCAGAGCTGGTGGTCTTCTTAGGAGTCGACCTAGTGGCAGGGGTCCCGCTCTCAGCTCCAGTACTATTGTTCTTTTTCGGAGTCGATTTGGTGGCCTGGGTCCCGCTCCCACCTCCAGCGCTGGCTGTCTTTTTCGGAGTCGACTTGGCTTTCGTCGATGCCGAGCTGCCACCGCTGGCCCTCTTGCGGCGGGCTTTGGTGTCCGAGCTCCGAGCGGCCGACGGTGTCCGCTCAGGCGAATCTGGCGACTCGGACAGTCGGAACCGGAGCGGCACGCGGGCGCTGCGGCCGCTGCTGCGCCGTCCCTCCGCCGAACTGGTCGCCGCTGACGGAGCCGCTGAGGCCCGGGACGATCGCACCATGACGCCGCTTCAGAACACAGAAACAGATAGCCTCCGATCAGTTGGTGGCATCTTCCAGCCAGTACAAGTGGATAGAATAATTTGCACCAGTACCCAGCCGTCAAATGTCAGGATTGCACAACATATGGGGGTAATGGATGGGGTTTAGGTGAAACACTGATGCCTTTCAGATTTGGAATGACAATGGAAATAAGTTTTCCATCGTCATCAATTTCTGGGCATTTTAAAGTAACTGTACCATTGAATTATTGGATTATCAAAGTTTAATGATTGAATAATTGGCATATAACTTGATGTAAATGATTGTCAAACAGCTTAGAATATATTAACCCTCGCCGGCACAGGGGGGGGGGTTGCATCAACCCCCCCCCCCCCTAAGGTTTTTCGCAAAGAACTCGCGTAAAAGGCGGCCGATCGCGACAAAACTTTCAGTACCCTCGCATTGATCAATTTTACACCTACCCTGAAAATTTCATGACCCTGACCCAAATGACCTTTGACCTGTGACCTCTTTTCCGAAACCATGTTTGGCCGGAATCGCGATTCGGCGTATGTCGGCTCGCATTAGCCGCGCGTTTGCAAGCTTTTCGTGGTTTCAAACGTTCAAACATGTAATTTGATGTTGCTCCCATAAAGTAGGGTGGGTGTCAAGGTCACCTGAAGGTCAGGTCAGGTCATTGACCTTTGGTGACCTCGGATGACCTCGATTCACTTTTTCGAGTTTTACATGTTTCTAGGCTTGTTTTTTTAGCTGAATTCGAATTTAGCAACCATTTGAACATTTACGAAGTAGTTTTGGTGCTTTCGTAACATGTTACGAAGCTGTCAGAGGCGGTTGACATGTATTACGAATCCCCGTCACAACCCCTACCGGTTGACCTGACCTGACCCGACCTGGTCTAAATGCTTGAAGACATCATTTCTGATCAAAACTAACACGATATTCGTGATCAGCACCCCGGAAAACCACGGAGCAGCCACACTTTACGACTTTCTAACAGGTCCCGATTTTCCCGATTTCGGGTCATTGACCTGACCTGGAAGGTCACCCGATGACCTAGGACCTTAAAATTGGGTATCATCGGCTTCCTCTCGTGACGGGCAGCACGCTCGTTTTTCCGCGAAGCTCTAGCTCGATCAGGGGCCAAACGCGAGGGGGGTTGTACCAGCCCCCCTTGTGCCGTCGAAGGACGCAAAATGGCCTGTGCCGGCGAGGGTTAAGTTCAGAAAATTGGGTAGATGTTACTTGGGTTAGACACAGCCACAGGTAGGGCTTCTTGAAAACAAATCAAACCATACTTTCATTTTTCAAAGCTTAAACAACAAATTGTATATGTGTGCTGACACTGACAGCAAGTTAATTGTTAGCATGAAAGGCAGTGACACAATTCTAGTATTTTCCATTAATAACTTAAGAATGAAAAACTTTAAGAAGCATTCACTTTACTAGTTCTTTCTTTTCACCAGGAATCTTATTTGATGATATGTATCTGCAACACCCACTACAACTAAATTTACATTGTTTGTAAAGCATTATTTGTTAGGTATTCCTCCCTGAGGTTCAAGGAAGAGGTAAGGTAGGTGATTGGAAGATGACATATACAATTTTTTTTTTTTGGGGTCTCAGTGTAGTGTACTCCAATGCTGAAAAACAAATATAATTTAGGCAGGCCGTTGATCTAATCATGTCATGGGCAATGTAAACTGCAAGAGTCATTCCACAAATATTTTACTGAATATATGCAATCCAAAATCCAGCCCTCACCTTCACTGCAGTAAGCTTTTTGCCTTGTCTATATTTTGCACGAGTCTCACACAGTGGCTCTTCCTCGTGATGTGGCAGCTTCACAATCTTCACAGGCTCATTACTCTCCTCCATCAAATTATACACTGAAATGAAAACAAGAAATAACATCAATATTTTCAGCACTTACATTGAAGTAGAGATCTTAATTGGTGTAGGTTTGTTGCTTGATTAATCATCAAAAGTAGGTAAACTGAATGGTCGAGATAACATCAATCACAGTCGGGGAAACTATGGTGAAATCTGCTATTTTTAGCAGTCTGCTATTTTTAGCAGAAATCTGCTAAAAATGGGTACGCATGTGACGTCATCGTACCCAAATATAGCAGATTTGGGTACGGCCCCCGACAAAAGCAGATCTGCACCCTAATTGAAGCAAATGCGCATCAAATGCCTGGCAGATTCATGATGAGAATAGTGCTGAGTGTTCTCTGCTATTTTTGTTCAGATCCGACTATTTTCAAATTCATTATTTGAAAAGTCGGATCTGAACAAAAATATCAGAGGACATTCTCAGCACTATTCTAATCATGAATCTGCCAGGCATTTGATGCGCATTTGCTTCAATTAGGGTGCAGAGCTGCTTTTGTCGGGGGCCGTACCCAAATCTGATATATTTGGGTACGATGACGTCACATGCGTACCCATTTTTAGCAGATTTCTGCTAAAAATAGCAGATTTTACCATAGTTTCCCCAACTGATCAGCATGAGATTTGATTCATGGAATAAAAGAAAATGTTTTATAACTTCACTAAATAAACTAAATAAGGCCTTAAATAAATGAGTTTTAACAAAATTATTATAATGCACGCATTAAAAAATATGGTGTTACTGCCATTACAATAATCAAATGATGACATTTGACTTTTGCTTGTGATCAAGGCTTGTGATGCAGTGACTTCACTTCAGGGACTGTCCTTAGACTTGTCCAAACCGCAAAGCAAAGCTATGAGATACTTACATATTCAGGAACTTATATTTGTAGGACAGGTTTCGTACAGCTCTACAAAAAAGACAATTCTTTATCTAAATGTCAACTGGAGTAATGCAACCGAATGCAAATACCTAAATCACGATCTTTTTTTCTCCCCTAGCCCCTCTAGCGTTATCGTTATTGCGCGCGATAGGCGGGAACACGGGCGGGAAACTCAGATATGTAGCAGTTGCGCCATACATGTCTTACTTTCCAACAGGCCACGGCTACTAAATAAACATATGCCGCGACCAATGTTGAAAGCACGTTTACTGGTACATTTTTTTGTACAAAATATCTTTGATTGGCGCTTTTACGGTTTGCAAATAAAAATAAAGCACACTCAATTTCATGACGAATCAAATAAACACTTCTTCACCCTGTTCCAGATGGATTGCAGCATTCTGCAATATGCCCTATGCAGTTGTATATCACGGACCGTTTCCAGTGCGATCACGTTGCCACTCGCAGTCGCCACACTCCCAGAGGCAGGGGCGGAGCTTCCTATACAAATGGTGGGGCGGCTGCGCTGCCCCACCAATAAGCGTTTTGTCCCACCAACTTTAGCTGATTTCTAAGACTTTGTTGCTTTGCAAATTAATCTTTTTCACATTTACACGTTGAAGAGCAATTTGGAATGTCTGTTTAATGCGAAATATTATATCTGTAATGATAGGAATTGATTCAGTGTGACATTTCATTCAACTTCATAATCGGACGTTGTGGGTTTGACGACTTTTTGCCCCACCAACTTCCCTGGAAAAGTTCCACCCAATCCCAGAGGCCAGATGCGATAGCCTCCAATAGCTTCAGGCTTCCGTCCTCATTCCTAGAGCTCCTGTTCGACTATCTCAGATCAAACAGAATGCCTAACTTCAGAATAATAGGCCAGTATCCGAACCCTACGGTCACTGGGACACCGTCCATGGCCCCAGCCAGTGTCACGCTGCGTCCCCGTTCCGCCCTGGCCTTTTGTCGCTGCGTCTGATCTCCATAACGCCGTGGGGTCGGGAAGGTCAGCGGGAGGTCGCAGGGCGGTGTCCCAAAGTCGCCGGTCGACACGGGACATGCTCCAGTTCGATACGCGTCGGGGACAGCCGGCGGCCCTGAACGCGGCCGACCTCCGTCGCCTCAGCCACAAACAGGGGGCGCGTCCCGCCGGTCCCGGCGCCGGGTCCGCGTGACCGAGCGCCGTCCGCGCCGTGGCTGTTTGTAATTCATGACGCTAATTACACCCTGCCCTGAGGACCGACGAGCTGTCGTCAGTTACACGTGCATTGTGGCGGTCGGTCGGGCATGATTTTAATGCTGCCGACTCAGTTCCACCGTTCACAGCACCCGAGCCATCTTACACGTGCCACACTAGCAAGAGATAGAGGCAATCGTTTTAGCTATACTTATAGTTATGCGATGCATTGCTATGGTTATAAGTGACGGTATAATACATTGTCCCAATAATTAACGCTAAAAGAAATTTTCTCGCTCCACATAAAAAAATCGTGGTCGTTTGACATGAAACGGTTTCCAGTACCTATTGAGAGTTTAACCCATTGTCTAATCGTTTTAGTCGCCAGTAATACAATGAATAATTGATAAATACCTACAATATAGGTTACATGCCTAAGCATTTGGTTATTTCAAATTAAGGTTTCACTTTCATCTATGTATTGGACAAAGAACATACAAATAAGGGCAATGGAAGACGGAGCATTAAAACAAGTGGAAGGCTACTACCAGGAAGGAAGATAACGATGCAGATTGCAGAGTGCAGAGTGCAGACCAAAGAGCATGGACAAATAAACTGATGCCAAACCGGCAGTTCGCAGAGTCACTCGGTGCCTGCCTCGTCCTTATACGTGGAGCTTCGTGAGCTCTTCAGGATGGCGCTAAACATCCCGTCCGAGGCCGGGCCCCGGCGTGTTGGACAGGACAGCCCGACCGTGATACCAGACAGCCGGACAGGACGTGTGCTGCCGAACAGCCGGCAGTAGCGACGGACCGGACAACCATGCAGGCTCCGTTCAGCCTGAGAGTGGCACCTGTCCACCAGACAGAAGCGAGGTACCAGAACGGAACGGACAGGATCTGGCAGTACCAGACCGGACAGGTTGACTGTGGTACGTACGTACCAGCCGAGTGCCGACAGTAGGTATCAGTAGTGTACCAGACAGCGGTTGCCGTTCAGTCCGGCCGTGCAGGCACTGGACAGCCCGGGCCGCGGCGTCGGACGCTTTGTTTGTATTCCGTGACGGGTGTGTGGGCTCTGTCTACTCACAGCTGACAACTCGTTCCCACCAGACCGGCAGCGCGTCAAAAACAGCCCACCGCGCCGCTCTGGATCCCAACACATACTGCGCAACCAGCGGCAGTGCGTCATTCGATCCACTGCAGGTCCGGATCGCTGTGGATGATAGATTGATCCGAACTTTGCCGCCGTGCTGGTATCCTTCTGTGATCGTGAGATGATGAGAGCGACTCGACAGGGCGACAGACTGCGAGGACCTCACGTATGAGATGCGCTGCACCGTTAGACGGGCGTGATGTGTATGTGTGTGTGTGTACTCGTGCGTGCGTTGTGGGCACCGCCAGTGCGTGTGTCGGCGTGAGGAGCTGGGAAGTTGAGATGCGTGGGGGTGTATCATTTGCTGATCACCGAGCTAGGCCTGCAGTACGAGTGGTCTTTATCAGTGGCGGCCGATTATGAGGAAAACCACGCACCTGAAGGTCTCACTCGTCCGTGGAATGAGGAGGAAAGGAATAGCTGCTGCAACTTCCATCTATTTGGATATGACGTGACTACACATTTGACTACTGTGTTATTGCACGAAATGAAGTTGTAAATGCATGCACGGCATTTGCCAACAGTTCACCTGCCGGAGTGCAATGATTATCTCATCTGATCTATTCAAGGTCAGCGATTTTTCGGAGCAAACAAACCGTGACGTCATGCCGATATTATCTGACCTTGCCTCCTTTACATCCCACGCCATAGTGGTGCATTGGAGACGGGCTTTATTAAAAGGGATGAGTTTAACTACATGACGGCTGGGTGGTGTGCATGCAAGTACCAAAATGCACACTTTGTTCGCGTTAAGGGTGGCATATGCCATTTAGAGTCACGCGTGTTAAAAGTACCTATGAATAAAAGGTATCTTGTCTCAGCAAGCAGACAAGTAGCTTGTTCATGCAAAGCTTCCGTATACTCATAAGTCGTATGAGAATCAGTTATTAACCAGCATTCGTTTAATATCCTATCTTCTCCAAGCCTTTGCCATCCGTCTCTCGCTCACTTTGCAGGGACTTGCTGGGACTCTGACTGCTGAGAAGCTGTCCTTTTTTACCTCTGTGTCTGCGATGTGCGTGACTGCAGCACTGGAGCAGAGTCGCTGAGCTCACTAACAGAACATCCGGGTGAACACCGTCCTCATTGACGTGTTCATCCAACGTGGGAACTGGTTCGTTACAAGGCCGAGGGATAAGAAGGAGGATTGTAAGATTTAGCCATCGATGATATGATCCGACACTGGGTATACGGTCAGTGCCAGTGGTGCTTGGCCAATGGTCAGTAACTAGCGATCAATGTTTGCAGAGAGTTAAATAAGATTTCATTTTATCCCCATATCATTTCAAAACTTCAAATGCATTACACCACCTTTGTCCCAGCTGTTTACATCAGTGAGTACAATTGTGCAATGTGCATCTGTAATGTAGGTTCGTGCAACGATACACACTACACAGTCATCACCCGAACGTGCTCACCCATGCAAGATATCTCCAGTCATTACTCGAACCCCTAGCACAGAGATAAGATTTTGTCTCCATCTGCCCAATATCTCTCCCATCTCCTCCTCTGTTATCTCAAATCACAACACTCTATTGTTGTTCCCTAACCCTCTACCCATCATCTCTCACCCTCTTTCCACCCGCTCTGCACCCTCCGTCACCTCTGACCAGCGCCGACACGGGGTCGTCACGCCGTGGCCGAGCCGCGGTCGGCGTGACGCGCGTCACACGTCACGCACGGCTCGCGCCCGACGGTGTGACATGCACACTGTCAGCGCCTCAACGTTTCGTGAGTCGGTGAGAAGGCGTCTTCGCTCTCTGAACCGTCTTATGCTCGGAACAAACGCTAGGATGAGCCATGGCCAGACCCGCTACCAGTTGGGCACGCGCGTCTGCTGAGTTATTCAGCGGGTTTGCGTGTGCTGCATCGCATGTGCACTGATAACTAGACCAGTCTAACCAATGTTATGTGAGCATTACTATGAGTGGGAAAGTGAATTTCACTTTCGAGAGCTGTAATTTTTTGTGTTCGTGTCTGCGTAATTATTACTCTGATCTAAGCCGGCATGCTATTTGGGTTAATCGTTCACAAAACGAATCCTTCTCTTACATTTTTCAGCTTCTGTCCAATCTGTTTCGGATGGAGTGGCGTGGCGTCATCGGCCATAAATCCTTGATTCATCCTATACATACTTGCCTGCAGCCTGGTTCTCATGGAAATGCTAGCCAGTGGCATTGAAATTTGGCAGTAATAGGAAAACAACTACCTTCTGTGTGACCATCGAGCATGTGGTTATCTATTACGAGGCGGTATTGCCTGCATGATCTGCGTATTCCCCATGCGTCAGCGTTATTCTCTCTTGCGCGCAGATGCAGTTCCCAGCATGTGGCGCTGCTGTCTACAGCTGTTGCAGTCCCCAGCCGCCGCCTGATGCTATCGTTTTGTACAGCTGTTGCAGTCTCCAGTCATCCTTGGTGTTGTCCTGAATATACAGCTGTTGCAGTCTCCAGCCATCGCCTGGTGTTGCTGTCCTGTACAGCTGTTGCAGTCTCCATGTGTTGTCTGGTGTTGCTGTCCTGTATGTACAGCTGTTGCAGTCTTCATGTGTCGTCTGGTGCTGCTGTCCTGTACAGATGTTGCAGTATTCATGTGTTGTCTGGTGTTGTTGTCCTGTACAGATGTTGCAGTCTCCATGCGTTGTCTGGTGTTGCTGTCCTGTACAGATGTTGCAGTATTCATGTGTTGTCTGGTGTTGTTGTCCTGTACAGATGTTGCAGTCTCCAGCCACCGCGTGGTGTTGCTGTCCTATTCGAGTGTTGCAGTCTCCAAGCGATGGCTGGAGACTGCTACAGAGAGTTACATGAGAGTTACACCCAAGATTCTTACAGATAGTTAGTAACACCATACATTTAAAACTGCATCAGCGCACAAGAACGAATCCCACATGTGGAAATGTTCGTTTCATTTTGTGACGTACTTATCTATAATCTACGTAGCGTAAAACTAAGATCAGGATATCACCTCCAAACTATTTCTAAAACTTAAAATATTGAAGTAGGCAAAGCTACCAGTTCTGGACCGTGAACTCCACAAAATAGGTATGTTTATCAGTCTCAAGGTCTCACAGGTTTGCCAAAATCCATCCGGGTGCGGTGTCTGTCACGTCCAAAGTGGTCGCCGTTTTTTAGGGTTTGTTGTCGCTGTCACATGTGAGCAGCCACAAACGAGCGTTACTCTCCTGTTCTATTGAGGTATCAGGCAAGTCACCGCCACGCTGGCTTCCTCATTTGCCGCCGAGAAGTGCGCCATGAGTTTTAAAAGTCTGACTGATGTTATATAAAAGGAGAAAAAACATTGAACAAAACTGAAGGAAGGAGGTGGCGGGAAGGTTTCAAGAGAAAGAGAGAGAGAGAGAGAGAGAGAGAGAGAGAGAGAGAGAGAGAGAGAGAGAGAGAGAGAGAAAGAGAGAGAGAGAGAGAGAGAAAGAAAGAGAGAGAGAAAGAGGGAGAGAGAGATAAAAAGAGAAAGAAAGAGAGAGAGAGGGAGAGAGAGAGGATATAGCTATTCCGGTACTGAATGTTAAAGAGTCTCTCATATCTAACCTGCATTTGTTTATTTTATTTGAAATTGTTTTAACGGACTTTCACTGGGTAGTGGGTAAAAGTTATTATTGGTCCCGGTACTCCGACTTGTATTGAAAAGTCTTCGATGGGGCACACGAAGTGCAGTGCCCCATCGAAGTACACACGTGTGCCCCATCGAAGACTTTTCAATACAAGTCGGAGTACCGGGACCAATAATAACTTTTACCCACTACCCAGTGAAAGTCCGTTAAAACAATTTCAAATAAGCATTTACCTGGGTATTAACTATTAAGACATGACTCTTCAGTCTCACTGCATTTGTTTATTAGACCAGTAAAACGCCTTTTGGGCGAAGAACGAGCGAGCGAGATAGTGAGCCCTGCAGGCTGCACGTGCGGAAAGGCGAGAGGGTACTTCCAACGGGCTTGTGCAAAGCACCCTTCTAACCGGTCGCTAGCGGTGTGCCAAATTTGAACGCAATCGGCCCAGCCGTTCCTGAGATCTGGAAGCGGCATTCTGCACGTGCGCACGTGCAAACGGGGTCCAAACTGACTTTTGCACGGCACCCTACTAACTGGTCCCCAACCGTGTACCAAATTTGAGCGCAATCGGCCCAGCCGTTCTCGAGATCTGGGAGCGCCCCCTGCACGTGCGCACGTGCAGTAGCACCCTAACCGCAACACATGGGAATGCATTGCCTGCTGGGTGCCTACCTGTATGCCAAGTTTCAGCGAAATCGCCCCAGTAATTACCGAGTTATTAAAATGGGAACAAATTTGACACCTCTTATTGTTGTATTTTGCACGTGCACTGGGGGTGACCCACATGCATCGAGAGTATCCTATTTTTGGTAGAAGGGATGCTGCTACCCTACAAAAATTACCGCAAGCCAATCGCCCAAGCGGCTGCTGAGATATGAGCCTCTCAAAATCACTACTTTTGCAAAACAGCTTGAACACCCTTGACTTTTCACGTGGCACGTGCCACGACGGTCACTGAGATGTATCAAAAGTAGTCAATTACGGGGTAGAAGGGATGGGGCTACCCAGCAAAAAAGACCGCAGGCCAATCGGTCCAGCGGTTGCTGAGATATAAGCCTCTCAAAAGCGTTACAGGCCGGGCCGGGCCGGGCCGGGCCGGGCCGCTCATACTGAGATTTTTCCGTTATATTGAAAAGACTCACTTCGCTCGCTGCGCTCGCTCGCTCGTAATCACGATTGGATCACTGCTTAGATCAGCGTAAGAATTAGATAATGACTTATCATTCGTAAGGGTTATTCCCGAAATGACATAATGCGTTCCCTAATATTGTCCAATGAATACTAAGCAAAATGGATCGACGCTTCAGCGTCATAACACGGCCTAAGTTGGACAGCACAATCCATTCGTCCTTACATGGCACTGGCAAATTTCAGTTGGAACGGCATGATTGATGCCGACAAAATGTGAAAACCCTCGGCGGAATATTTCAGCTATAAGTTAAACTGACTGATGTCGCCTTTAAACGAAACTAGTTAGTAGCCGTTTTCACGACGGCCATCTGGTACTTTGGTGCACATTTGGTTCAGATTAGGCGCAGATTTGGTCAAATTAGGCTCAGTGTATCTCTTAGAAGCTATCAGCTAGGGTTGCACTAATTGCTTATATGCCTCCTTTGCCATATTATCAGAGATTATCATCAATCAAAACACTGAAATAAATTCATGAAATGAAGATAATTGCTGTATATAAGAGATTAGGTGCAGATTTGGTCAAATTAGGTGCATTCGCCGGATAGCCCGTTGTGAAAACGGCTAGTATCTACCTAACTAGAAACGGATGAAAACGACTGTTTGAAAAACAAATGACAATTAGAATCATGGATGATCGGAGAATAAAATTGGATAATAGACGACAACTGTTTCTATTTTGTGATGATTTTGCGAATGAATTTTTGTTTACAAATTGCAGCAGATCATGTGATTTTTAGCTTATGAGTGCATTGCAAAACAATGCTCCAAAATGTAGCGAAATCTAAAAATATAGGATCCTTGCGACCTGCAGGTCACCCTGATATCTACGAGCCAAATCCAACGTAGGCATTCATGCACTCTTCTCAGGTAATCCAAGCACGTCATCACTTTCTCACATTCCTGGTACTAGCACGGTACGCCACCCGTGTCTCTTCCTCCCCAACTCCCTTACAGAGTCGCTCTGGCGAATATGATGCACCACTGTCTGCCAACGCCAGTGAGCCCGCATGCGCACCAGGCCGTGTTAGCGTGCAATACTGTGCAGTTTCTCCGACCGACACATTCTTCCCCACCGCAGATCCGTGGTAGGTACTCGCACCTCGACTCTGACCGTGAGAGGGGGCGGCCGCGGCGCGAGGTTTGTGTTTACGGCGCCGGGGGCAGCGGCGGAGCGTGGTCGCTCCTCGGGAAGGTCGCCGCGGTGGCCGCGGAGAGCAGTCAGCGGCCGGCGTGCGGCCGGGTGGGTTCGGCGGGCACCACGTGAGCCGGCGCGGCGCGGAGACTGCCGTTGGAGCCGGGTGAGAGACGACAGGCAGCTGCGGGCCACCGGGCGCCCGCCGGTACTGGAGAAGAGGAGACAGCAGGTGGGTCGGGACGGAGGGGAGACTTAAGCTTGTAAAAAGATATTCTGGGGAGTTTCTTTTCGGGAGAGACTTCCTGGGCCATCAGCAGGATAATTACATGTATGGAATCACTGGATGCGCCCACTGATATCGAGCAAGACATGCATAGGGACATTGTCATGGCCAAGCTGTAAGTCAAGCAAACGTTCGACCTCTGCTCCAAGAGAATACGTGCGAAAATGGATCGGTATCGCACTGATAATACATATGTAACATGATGTCTGCGAAACAAAGCGTGAATTATATGAACCTAATTCGAGAGGGGAATTCCCACTACGACGGGTGTCCGACAGCGTGCGCCAACGTCTTTCTCAGTGCAAACGAGCGAGCCGTCACGAGCTACGGACGTGCACGTAGCTCGACACGTGGAGGAATTATAGTGGCTTCGGGACAAACTAAAATGACCAAGGTACCGGAGCAGATAAAATGACAAAAAACGGAGGTAAAACTATCAATGATATAGTTACATAAATTATTACATAACACAAGCGATAAATACTCATCGCATTGCAACATCAAATGCCCTATTGGCACGAACATCAACTATGCCTATGTCATTGTTTTACATGCATCTCTATAATCACTTGCCTCTGCGATACGGCACAGACCGTTCATTCCACTGCATAATTCTCACACAGCCCCCACTCCACACCTTCTTGGGTCGGCCTTCAAGGAGTCGGATGCTAATTAGATGCGCCGCGCCGCGTGCCATGCCTTCCTTATGACGACTGATGAGCACGTGACCTTGGAGGACATATGTGACGAGTTGGGCTTCTAAGCGAACCGCCAACACCGCGGAACGCATAGGATTTCCGCTGCACACCACCGCAAACGTTTGCTTTAGGATGTTGCTTTTCGCGGGTTGTAAATAAGCAATGAATAGCTGGGGCGACAGGTATTTACAGCATACAGTAGTTAGCATGCTTCACACCACTAAATCAATGTGTTTCAGGCAGGGGCGGATCCAGGAAAACTCCAAGGGGAGGGTCATGAATCGATGTGGTGCCCCTACCTATACCCAAAATTAAAAACTCAACGGATTTCGTCCACTTCATTTTGGTGGTGCCCCCATCTTCAGTTTATTTTTTATTTTTATTTTTTTTTATTTTTAGTCAGTATCTTAACTCTTAGCCACAACCACATTTACCAATTGTAAGCAAGTATATATGAATGTGCTATGTGTATATATGTTGTGGACGCAGAGTAGTGAGTACTCACCAGGAACGTTATCAGGTAAGCGAATCGTTGTCAGTCCGACGAACTTGACCCTGGCGTCTAAAGGGTCTGTCCTTGACACTTCAGGCTTGTCAGGGGCACCAAAGTCCTTCCAGGGACACCACAAACCTGTCAGGGGCACCTACGGCCTTGTAGGGGCGCCACAGGCCCGCCAGGGGCACCACAGGCCTGCCAGGAAGCAGGGGCACCACAGGTCTAGCAAGTATACACGACAGGCCTGTCAGGGGCACAACGGGCCTGTTGGGCCCATGAGCACCCCTAGGGGCAGGGGCACCACAGTCCTTCCAGGGGCACCGCAGGCCTGTGAGGGGCACCAGCGGCCTAGCAGGGGCACCAGTCAACACAGGCCTGCCAGGGGCACCACAGACCTGCCAGGGGCACCAGAGGCCTGCCAGGAGCACCACCGACCTCGCAGGGGTAACTTGGGCCTGTCAGGGGCACCACGGGCCTGTCGAGAGGCACTTCAGGCTTTTCAGGGGCACCATAGTCCTCTCCGGGCGGCAGGGGTAGCAGGGGTAGCAGGGGCACCAGAGGCCTGCCAGGGGCACTACAGGCCTAGCAAGGGCACCACTGGTCTATCAGGGGCACCACGAGCCTGTCATAGCCAGGCATCTCAGGCTTATCAAGGCCCAGGGGCACCACAGGTCTGTGAGGGGCACCAGCGACCTAGCAGGGGCACCAGTCAACACAGGTCTGCCAGGGGCGCCACAGACCTGCCAGGGGCACCACAGACCTGCCAGGGGCACCAGAGGTCTGCCAGGGGCACCACCGGCCTCGCAGGGGCACCTTGGGCCTGTCAGGGGCACCACGGGCCTGCCGAGGGGCACTTCAAACTTTTCAGGGGCACCAGTCCTCTCCGGGCGCCGGGGTACCAGCGGCCTAGCAAGGGCACCAGAGGCCTGCCAGGGGCACCACAGGCCTAACAAGGGCACCACGGGCCTGTCAGGGGCACCTCAGGCTTGTCAGGGCCCAGGGACACCACAGTCCTTCCAGGGGCACCGCAAGCCTGTCAGGGGCACCAGAGGCCTAGCAAGGGCACCACAGGCCTGCCATGGACACCACAGGCCTGCCAGGGGCACCACCGGCCTTGCACGGGCGCCTCAGGCCTGTCAGGGGCACCACGTGCCTGCCGGGGACACTTCAGGCTTGTCAGGGGCGTTACAGTCCTGTCAGGGCCCAGGGGCACCAGGCTCGTGGTGCCCCTGGCGGTCCTGTGGTGCCCCTGTCAGGACTGTGATACCCCTGATAGGCCGGTGGTGCCCCTGGCAGGTCTTGGGGCCCCCGGGCCTCAAGGGGGGGCCATGACCCATGTGACCCCCCCTTGGATCCGCCACTGGTTTCAGGTATGAAAATATTTTTATCTTAATATCAGGTAAGTCAAGTATGATTTATTTAAGTGAAGATCAATGGCATGACATAATTCATGCTTAATAGTAACCTGATGCGAGCACCAATTTGTGTCATGCGGATCATGACGGTGCAGTTCAATTCGTCTTAGACTGGGTCGTCTTCTATTGGCAGTAATATCGACGCACATACTACAGTGTCACGACTAACGCACCGTTGGGTCACGATGCTGTCCACCAAAGTCGTTGACCTTTCCATCAGTGCACTTTGTCAGTTTGACCCGTGTGGCAAGCACAGACTACGCCTGAACCATGCGCCAGAGTTTGGTATGTAGAAAGGAATTACACCCGTGTACAGGGGTCATCTGGGCTAAGAAGCTTACCCTTTGACAGAGCAGGGTGGAGATAGAGATCTGGATAAAAGGTGCATGTGAGTGGCCGGGAAGGCGAGCTGGGATCACCGCGGATTACCCAGATCGGTCGGACAGAGGTCTGACCTGTAACCCGAGTGTCCAGACGATCGAAAGGATGTCATTCTATTGTCTCGTTTCAGTTCTACAAGAAGTGTCGCTTATGTAGAGCATTTCTTGCATTTTCGTCTGCATATGAGATGCAGTATAATGCTAGCGAACTTTCCTGAGCTCCAAAGTCGTATAATGCAACACCGAATTCGCATATAATGCACTTCTAGGTGACAACAAAGAGCGTCATAAATTGTTCACGCTGCGGCGAAGAAGAGTGAAGACGCAGGCAGCCGTGACGCTGTTCGTCACCAGCGCGTCACTTTCGCCGCCGCCGGTGTCACTGTGTCGCATCACGACACGATGTAACACCGGACATCTCGGCCCCGGGGGACGGTACAGGACAGAGCAGGACGTTTCACCATGGTCCCGGACTGGGTGTTGAGGTCGGGTCACATTACCGTGACCGAGGAGAGGAGAGGCGACTGTGACAGAGGGTATGGAAGAGCACGAACACTGCCCACAACGTGTGTAGATCCGGAGACTGTGTGTGCGGGTCTCAAGGGTCAGCACCGCACGTCTCAGTGACGTTTACATATGTCTTTGGGAGCACTTGTTATGAGCAAAAGACAGGCGGCCTGTGTCACATTTGAGTGCCAAGTGCTCTACTTCAGAACAAAAACGAAGTGGGCTTGACGTTCTGATAGATAAAGTCAACGACGTTTCAAAACCATTGCACATTCGACAAGCGCACGACGTTTTTGGGTGTCTATTAGAAAATTCCAAGTTCATGCCTCATCGAAGTCCAAGACATTCGACAGGCAGGCGTTCCATCCATGAGTACAATACTCATCGCGATATGTATGTCACCTATAGGAGCAGACTCGGGGCCGATGTGAGGTATCGATACAGTCTGATTGGACGTGCGACTGCGGCTGACTGGAAGGCGTGGTCGACTCGGGCGCGGGAAGTCGCATTACGAAATACGATCGATCGTGTGAGTTTGTGGCAGAGAATCCAAGCATAAAGAGGCGATGTCATCCACATCACACGATGCTTATTTAAATAAGGACGTTCCGTCACTTAGGGCTTAGGCGTGGCCTAGACATTATCCATTATGAGGTGACCACATGTGTCAGCCTTAATGGGGAATTAAGTACCCCATTCAATCTTCCTTGCCCTAGATGAAGCCCAAGGCTTTTAGAATAGCACCTGCATGACTACCAAGCCATTCCTCACAATGGGATATGTTGGTGTGGCTTTCAGAACGATTAGCAATCACGATGCAGCAGTAACAATGCGGTCGTGTATTTAATTAAGGCGGTTATAATGCCATTAGCATTTCATTGTGGTCAGTTGGTGCGGTACGAGGCATGGATGCAGCCGCTAGGAGTGTCCCTTGCTTCTTCACCCGACCATGAAGGCAAACATTTTTTTCTTTTTCAAATCTGCTGGGCGGGATTCGGGAGGGGGAGACTTGGGACGCCCTTGAACGGATGCTTGAACTTGAACGGATGCGTCAGGCTCATTGCCGCCTCCCTCGGTTCGTGGCCCAAGAGGTGACTTCAGGAAGGGAAAGGGGTAAGATACAACTTTTGCCCGTCAGTATGTTCCACTTTCGCGGCGCTGTTTATGAGATGAATGTAAGCGAAAGTCTGTAATGTCGAAAGTACAAACATCACAAAAATTAGTGCTTTTCACTTGTGGATGCCCGTAGCATAACCGCAAGAAAGAAAAAACATTTCAACAAATTTATCAAAACCCATTCCGCTCGTCCCGAACAAACAAAACATCCCTATCATCGTGCCCTCGACCTTCTCCATCCCGAACCAGAAGACACGGGTGATTTGTATGTGTTTGAACTGACCCTGACACGCACTGTGACCACGTCTCCGCATGTCTCGATCTGCGCGGGCCG